TATATCTTTTAATAGTCTTCGCTCTCAAGGCGCTTATGCTGTGTCTGAAATGATGAGACAGAACGCAGAGCTGATGGAGGTTAACCTATCRGGAAACAAATTCCACGAAAAAGACGCAGAACCATTGGTAGAAGCACTGAAAGCTAACTTCACTTTAAAAGCTTTGAATCTGAGTCAAAATGAGTTCTGTGAGATAGGTGGACAGCTATTAGGTCCTGGTATCGATGCTAATGTTGGCTTGGAGTATYTGAACCTTAGTTGGAATCATATTCGTGGTAAGGGYGCTGTTGCTGTTGCTTTTGGCCTTGGACAGAACTGCTGCCTCCGTACTCTGGATATATCATGGAATGGTTTTGCTGATGACGGTGCTAAAGCTATCGGTGAAGCTTTAATTGTGAATAATACGCTAACGGAGCTGGACATCAAGAATAATCGCATTACGATRATAGGAGCGTCTTATATCGCTAAGGGTTTGGCACAAAACAAGACACTTCAAATATTACGAGTTGGGAAAAACCCGATATCAAGTCAAGGSGCGTTTAATATCCTCGCAGCCGTCCATGAAAATCCAGACAGCGCGATAGAGGAGCTTGGTTTTGAAGATRTTCCAGTTAATGCCGAATTTGAGGATTTGCTGGATGATGCGTTGGATTCACGACGCAATTTGAACGTCTTTTGCGGTGCTGCTCTGAAAGGAAAAGACCGTGTCAAGAAAATGAGAAATAAAGTGGTAAGAAAAGAGTTTATTCTTGTTGAGAGTGTTTAACTTCCTCGAATTTTTTTATATTATTTTCTATTTTATTAACTCAAGCGTTTCCTTTCTCCATTCCTAGGACGTTCTAAACCTCTTGCTAGAGTACATCGAGTTACGTGGCCTTCGCATGGTGGATTTCTTTCGCCAACTCGACAAAGATGGCAGCAAGAAGATTTCGCGCGCCGAATTCATGGCAGGCGTGAAAAAGGCAGGGATCCCAATGACAMGAAAACAGCTCAAGAAACTAGTGAATATCCTTGACGTGAACAACGACGGCGAGATAGACTATGGAGAAATGATAGCCATAAAGGGAGATGATGTTTTTGACATTTATCATAAAAAGAACCTTAAGAAAGATGATCCTGCACTGATCGCTCATAAAACCAAACAAATGAAACTAAAGTCACATACGCAAAGTCTAAATGACAAACCCGCGTAGATTGTGTGACTTAATTGGCGTCACTGTAGAACAATGCACACAATGAGCAAATAGTGCAGTTGAAGTCTCAACATATTTCAAAAGATTGTGACTTTCTCACTCACTCACTCACTCACTCACTCACTCACTCACTCACTCACTCACTCAACTAAATAATTTAGGTAAACAAACAATTTGCGCCTTAAAAGTCGATATTTTGCACTTGCACAGATGATGATAATGCAAACTTAGTCATTTGCGTGACGAGGAGGGTAGATAAACACTCATTGCTTTTAAATGGGGACTGAGAGAGATACATTGGTGTAAATATTAACCTGGTAAATGTGAAACGTACATTTATAGAAAATAAAATTTACAAATCAGTTTGTGTTGTATAGTTTCTTATCTTCTTTCTTACTACATCTGCTTCTATGAAATATAAAGACCATAGTGACGGACTCCTATAAAATCAACCCTATGTTACAACCGGTTTTCTCTCTTTAAATACAGGGTTAACGCCGGACTTGACACGAAAAAAACATAAAATAGATATATCACACGAGTCTACTTGTTTTTCTTGTGTCCATTTATTTGCCTTACCTAAATTGTTAGAGATTTGGTTCTGCGGGTCTAATGTTTTCACTCTTTTTTTCACCAAGTGTATTCTATTTTTTTCAGTAATAACTGCCTTATCGATCATTAATAAGATGATTGATGAGAAAGACGCCAACCAAACTACCCATGCATTGCAAGCATCAGAGGCTAAGTTAACTGAAGTTGATAATAGTAATGCTCAACTTTACCAAGAAGTATTGTTCGCTAGCAAGTCTTTAAAGGCGCAGGTGAGGAGGGCACACTCCACATACCTGAGACTGCGATCTCTTGAAATATTCATTTGTTAATGTTTTTCTTAGAAAACCAACGATGAGTCCGCTGAATTGTGGCACGATGAAATCCAGGCTTGCATCGATCATTCCAACAAGCATGCCGACGAAACCGTCCAACTTGCGCAGGGCCTGGTGGCGATTAACCAAACTATCGACCGTGGGGACCCTAGTAGTTTTATCACCGCTCTTAGAGACCCTGGTGTTGGAATCAGGGGGGTCCTGCCAGAATGCACAGAAGAGTATTTGAAGGCTTTGAAAGAAGCCAAGCAAGCTAAAGGTAATTTAGGTATCAGAGATCATTGAAACATATATCGACTGATAATACTGTCAGACATCTTCATCATCCTCAATAGTAAATGTCCGATGTAAAGGACCTATTTTCAGTCATTTATACGTTCTCCTAGGAGGAGGATCACCATGGTTACAGCAGAAGACCAATTATGGTCACGTGTATTACTACAATAGCAGTACGGGTGAAACACAATGGACACGACCTGATGATTTTAATGATGATTCTGCATTACTTACTAAAGAGGAAATACAGGTATGGTGTAAATAGATTTGCCAGTAACCTGCTAGAAAATCCATCCGTCTGTCGTCTTCTTTGATAACAATGCTCAGTCGTTTACAACCTCTGCCCCGGGCACAGTTCAAAATATGCACATTAGTACGCAGTCATAATCCCTGTCATCATAATCCCTGTCAATCATTCTTTAATTGTGTCGATCATTCACCAGGATGTGGTATCACGTGAGACCGGCCAACACGATCGCATGGTTTACTTGACATCCAACGAACCTATGATAGTCAAACTACAATCACATTGGAAAGGCTACTTAACCCGTAAAGCTTACAAAGAACGAGTTACATTTATTAATGAACAACTACCCGCTATTATCAAAATACAGGTAAGGGGGGGTAGGGTGGGGCTTATTTGATTACAAGAGACTGACAAGGGAGGGGAAGGTGAAACATCCCATTTAAATGTTGTTTAAAACATATCAGTTAATATAATTAATGCCCATACTGTTTCATTCCAGCGTCATGTTCGAGGTTTTCTAGCAAGGTTACGATATCGTAGAAGACTGAACGAACTCAACAACCTTCCTGAAGAGAAAGTTATCAAGGTAAGATGATTGACAGCTATCATTATGATGATGATAATGATGATGATGACGATGTATTTGATTATGGTGTTAGTGAACCTTTGGTTGATGACAATAGGTGTTAGTGAAGTCGATGATGATGATGATGATGATAATGATGATAGTCATGGTAGTAGGTGGCACACGCTCAGTCTGTGAAACACAAATAGTACTATTCGTTTCGCGGATTTACCGTGATGATGAACCATTTTTCGTGGTTTCAGATCCAGTCTAATGCTCGTATGTTCCTTGCAAGAAAACACTACAGGCAAAGGAAAACGTACTTTGATCAGAACGTAAGTAATTGAACGTAAAAAGTACGTAATTACAAACGTAAGTAGTAGGACAGCACTTTAGTAGTAAGTAACATCGAGTAAGTAAATACCATAAGCCTAGATATTAGAAACCCTCCATATATGCATTATATTACGTAACAAACGTGCAAGCACGTGTGCAACGCAGCGAGCACGTAAGTACATCGATGAGAACGCAACGTTTAAGTAGTTTGTACGATTTTCTAGCAAGCGGCTATTGTCAAGATTCAAGCTTGGGTACGAGCGAACGTTGCACAGAACGACTACCGTAAACTAGGTAAGGGCTATAATTGTTGATCTCGTGAAGCAAAAGGGGTAAAATACATCTGGTTTCAATTTATTTTTGTTGTGTTAGTATCCATGCAAGACCCACCTGTCAAGACTGTAAGAAAGTTTCTTCATTTGCTGCAGCACAGTGACGCGGATTTCGAGGAGGAACTGGGTATGTATTACATCATTTCCCGTCGTTCTGCTATAGTTTCTTTAATGCAAATAAACTTAATAACTTAGTGCGTAAGGTTGAGTCTTATTCTAGTGACCATTGTCGTTTTTACCATATTCGTTTCCGTCTTTTTGGTGAAGATGTGTTTTTTGTTTTTGATTTTCAGAGTTGCAGAAACTACGTGCTCAAGTCGTGACAGATATTCGTTCAAACCAGCAGCTTGAGAATGATTTGAATCTGATGGACATTAAAATAGGATTACTAGTCAAAAATAGAATTACAATACAGGTTTGGAAAACGTTTCTTCTCTTCTTTTGTTTTCTTCGTTTGTGCCTTAATTTCGTTTCGTTTTCAGTTGTTGTTCTACTGTTATTGTTATTATTATTGTTCTGTGTGTCCCCTTCCTGGCTGTACATGTGTATTTAAAAGTCTACGTAACTTATCTTTGACGTTGTTTCTTATTTTTCTCTGCAAGGATGTCGTTCATCATGGAAAGAAACTCAAGCGGGAGAAACAAGATGCAGCTACTGTCAGCATCCAGCGAACCAAGGGAATCAAGTCACTTAGCAAGGAGAGCAGAGAGAAACTAGAAGCCTATCAAAACCTCTTTTATTTACTTCAGGTCGGTCGCTTGCTTTCTTCGAGGTTGCATCGCAAAATAACTTGAGCTTTTGTTTTTGTTTCTTCTGAAGAAATGCAATGAAATGATGTTTTTCCCAAAGCTTTCTCAGCGTTTTTCCTTCGTAAGAGAAGCTCCATCATGTATCCCTTGTCCTCCCTCTTCCCGCATTTCTTCTTTTAATGTAATTGTTTGTCATGCTTCTCTCTTTTGTCAAAATAGACGAACCCAACATACCTTGCGAGACTAATCTTTGAAATGCCTCAAAGTAAAACGACCAAATTCATGGAATCCGTTGTACTAACGTTGTACAACTACGCGTCCAATGCCAGGGAGGAGTATCTTCTACTGAAGCTCTTTGAAACGGCTTTGAGACAAGAAATCTAGTAAGTAAGAAATGACGCATGACTACAAACGCGGGCTTTTTTTCGCGCCAAATTTGTCGTCTCCGCGCGGACTACCTTTCCTATCATGCTTTGCGCTAGAAAATGGCGTCTCTGCAGACTGCCTTATTTAGACGTGTTTTTCTTTCCAGTGCTAAAGTGGATCAGCTTATTGAAATTATAACAGGAAACCCGACAGTTATAAGAATGGTAGTACACTTTAACAGGTAGGTTGGGTAACCTGTGGGTAATCGTTCGACAGGAAGCCCGTTCTAAATATCGTTGATGTTTTCAGAGGTCAAAGGGGTCAGAGTTCTCTTCGAGATTTACTGCAGCCTTTAGTGAAAGATATTCTGAATGAAAAAAATATGAACATTAATACCAACCCGTTGGATGTTTACAAAGCCTGGATTAACCAAATGGAATCGGAGACTGGTCAGACGAGGTAATTTTTGCGATGATAACTTATACATCGAGAAAACGTACTGAAGTTTCCGACTTTCATCGTCGTGAAACATGTGATCAACGGTTGATCTACCGTTTGCTTGGTTGACTGATTGAAGTGATGATATGATCTATTGATTGATTGATTGAAATGATCGATTGGTTGGCTGATTGATTGATTGATTGATGTGATTGATTGATTGACACCATTTTGTGCGGCATTTGATCGAAAGCATTGAAATATAAATTGCAATATTTGTAAAATTCTTTGATTTGTTCAATTCAGTAAACTGCCGTACGATGTCGAACCTGAACAGGCTTTAAAACATCCTGAAGTACAGGAACGAATCTCTATGTCCGTCGCATCACTAATCGCCGCAACAGACAAGTTCCTAAACTCCATCATACAATCCGTCGACAAAGTACCGTAAGTCATGTCACTACATTTTGTGATTTCCGTAGCGAGACTGTTTCGCACACATCTACGTTGTGTCATTTACGTTGCAGAGCTACTGAACTGTGCTACATGTTACGTTTCTTCCGCTCATATCTACGTTTTAAGTCTAATCTAACGTTTTGCGTTCCGTTAATAATACCTCTTCAGTTTTCAACTCTCACTTTCCTTTTATTACGTTTCAGTTATGGGCTACGTTACGTAGCAATGACGTTACGTTTGTCATTAACGGAAAAATTCCCAAATATTCCTGAAGATGAAATCTTGAAGGTAAAAATTGTTCAGGTTTTCGTTAGCCTCCTTTGCAGACGTTATTGGTATTGGGTCATACGTTCGTTCTCCACTTATGACCAATACTAATAACGTCTGCAAAGGAGGTTAGTTTTCGTTTGCTTTCGTAGTATACTTGTTTGTTAGCAATTTATGTTTACTTGTCGAGTGTGACTGTGTTTGATTGTTAATTGATTTGTTTATCAACCTTCGTTAACAAGATGAAGCGAAAGCATCAAGTTAGCGTTACAACACATGTTGTTTTTTAGGTTGTTGGTAACCTCATCTATTATCGATACATGAATCCAGCCATTGTGGCTCCTGACGCCTTTGATATCGTTACTCTGAGCGTCGAAAAAGGACTTCTTCCTGAACAGGTAATAGAATACGTTATAAATGATATCGTAATAATCACAATGTTACCTTTATTACAACCATCGTTGTCATCAGTATCATCCGTAATCATTATAACACTTCGTCGGCTTTTATTATTAGAGTTCGCGCACTAAATCCGTGAAACAAATAGTGCTGATTACCACTATATAGTGTTGAGTAAAAAATAGGTAAGAAAGGAATTAGCACAATTTAGCTCCTAGTTTATACTTTTTATGGTTCACGGATTTAGTGCGTGACTATATATATATATCATCAAGCATCATTATTCTTATCAATCAGTGAAAAGACATCATTCACAATAGTGTTTTGTGTGTTTATACAGAGAAGAAACCTTGGTATCATCGCTAAACTTCTTCAATTCGCAGCATCAAATAAACTTGTAAGTACCGCGAAGGCCGTGTAGTTTGATTTTACACCCGTGGCATAGCTTATACGCTTCCAAAGTGGTCCTTGTCCCAATTTAGAGTCACCTCTTGTTATAACGGACAACTTGACGACCGTAATTAAGTGTCCGCGAAAGCGAGTGTTTGCTGTAAATGGAGTTAATATTAAGTGTCCACGAAAGCGAGTGTTTGCTGTAAATGGAGATTAATTGGTAACAACGAGGTGTCCGAAATATCGGGGTGACCGCAATCCTAAAGTATTGTAAATGTAAAATTTAAATTAATTATAACAGCTAAATCAACAAATGTAACAACTTTCTTTCAAGTTATTCCACTTTTTATGTTTTAATCAATTTGGGTATTCAAAATTCTTATAATTTAAAATATAAATTCAAGAAAAACAACTTTAACTACACAGGTAGTAATCAATAAAACTCCAGATATCAATTCTGGATTGACATCTAAAGACTTGTACGAATCGTCTTCAAATGAAATCAACGGAGTACCAGCAGACAGTGATAAACCGGAAATCAATGGTGCACCGGAAGTAAAAGATAAACCGGAACTAAATGGTCCACTTTATGGATCAGAAATAAATGAGCAACCGACAATAAATCCTTCAACTAAAATCGTTAGTATGTTGCACTCAGCACTTCCAACATGTTATTTTGATAAGTCTGTTTGCACGTTTTTGATAATGCCTCGTTCAATTCACTAAAAAAAGTGAGTCCTAAATGAAGTTACGGTAAAAAGGTTTCTTGTGAAGACTTGCACTTTTAATTCTCTCAATCTCTAAGATATTAAACTTTTATTATATATTCCCTAGTATGATGTTTCTAGTGGACATCTCGCTCAACTCAACAAGTACATCTCTGAAGCCCATCAAAAGTTCAAGTAAGTGTTCACGTGACTCCAAACCCAGCCAATCAGAACTCGTTTACCCTCAGTAAAGATGAGTAGATATAGTATGACATCATTTCTATTTTTAACCTTGCAGAAAGTTCTTCCTGGACGTGTCGACTGTAGAAGAACCAGAAAACCGATTCAACATCGATGAGTACACAGACGTGGTTATGTTGACCAAACCAACCATTTACATTTCAGTCCAGGAAATCTGCGATACCCATACACTGCTTCTTGAACACCAGGAACAGATCGCACCAGAACCAAATGACCCGCTACACGAATTACTGGACGACTTGGGTGACGCCCCTAACGTACAGGATCTGATCGGTGAGTGGTTCAAGTGTGATTATAGTGCTTTTCATTGTGTGTTGTTTTAACGAATTAATGTCTTTTTAACTAAAGGCGGAAATCGTGAAGACGAAGACTTCGCCCAACAAGTCGCTCAACTCGCCAAGACAGAAATTTCTCTTATGTTAACCAACAAGTTTGAAGTTCCCGACGATGATGATTCCGATATGAGAGCACTATTTGTAAGGTAACCAAGAAAAGTTTTTTTCATATTTTCCTCTCCCACGTTCGTTGCATCCCTTGCTTCTAGTCGACGTTTATTTTCCGACTCTGGAACTCAAAGGGGGGAGGGGAGGCTAAAAATATAAAATAAGCTGCTTTTGACTTGAAGCATTGTCAACTTTCAGAACAAAGCGACTTATTGTGGACGTTCTCATGGTGCAACAAGGTGAAAACTTAACGGAAATTCTGGAAACCCCTGCATCAGAAGAACAGGTAGATATGTAACACGAACGTTGATTGGCTTGCCGAGGTTTTTACTATATAACGCGAGTTTTGATTGGGGTGTCTCGAGCGAAAGTCCAAAAAGTGCGTGCATGTATCTTGACAGTTTATTTTCCACAGGAAAAAGCCCACACTCGGTTAATGAAGGAAAGAGATGTCGATGAAGAAAGAAAGAGAAAAAACACACAAGTCAGACGATCGGCTTCAATATACGGTGATAACAAGTATGTCCACTTTGTCTGTCTGTACACACGAAAGAGTAGAAGTAAATATATTTCACGATTTTTTTAGGCTTCCTCTTGAAGGACTGAAGAGAAAAATCATTCGAAATCTAAGAATGCTGGAAAGTCAGGGACTGGTGACGATAAAGAATGATTATCAAGATATCGTTAACGCTATTGCCAAGGTAACCATCATTGGAATCATAGCTTCCATCATTTCTTTACTCATCATCATCATCATCATCATCATGTCTTCTCATGTAATCAGTATCATTCAGTTATTATAATTATTACTCTCCCCTCCTCCTTTAATTATTGTCATCACCCCTCCCCGCCTAGGTTATCATCATCATTATCATAATCTCTCTAATTATAATCATCATCATTCAGTTATTATAATTATTACTCTTGCTCCTACCCCTTTAATTATTGTCATCACCCCTACCCCTAGGTTATCATCATCACTGTCATAAACTCTCTAATTATAATCATCATCATTCAGTTTGTTATAATTATTACTCATCCCTCCCCGCTCAGGACATACGTAACCAGAGACGATACCGTCAGAGAAGACGACAAGAAAGAAAGAAACTTCAACAAACACTGGACAGTTTGCAAACAAAAACACACTTCTACGAGGAACAAATCGATTACTACAATCAATACATACGAGTTTGTCTGGATAATCTTTCCAAGAAAGGGAAGTAAGTATCGTAACTGGGAGAGAAATCCCTCTGGTTTCAGCAGTTGGGATTTCGTACACGTCTGCTATAAGCTCTTCGTCTTAGTGGCTTTTCTATAAGATAAGTGGTCGTTTGGGTATTGAACTGTGTAATACGACCGTGCTATATATACGCTTTAACATACTAGCGTTATTACATTTTGTTTCACAGGTTTATAAACATACTGTAAACCCATGAAACATACTTATTATTTGCAGGAAAATAATTTTATTTTAAACATGAGTGATTAATAAAAAAGCAACTCGGTTTTTTTATTATTTTTGTTAATAATAATTATTATTAAGATTATCGTCATCATCTGCGGTATTGTTTATAGATTAGAAGGATTTTGTAAGAGTCCTCAATTCCTATAATTACATTTCATTGACCTTGTGTACAACAGATGTTCTTCATCCACAGACTCTTTCATTTTCAGCCAATACTAGAAGCTTTTAAAGTGGTTTAAAGAGGCTTAAAATAGTTTGCTAGTAAATTCAACAAAAACATCCATATGTAGTTAACAAGAACAGAAAAACATCCTGGGCGATACGAGGGGATCGCCTAGATCAACGATAAGGGTATTTTGAATCGTTTTCAATTTGGAGTTAAGTTTTTTTCGTTTTTCGTTTTTGGTTTATTGGTGTGAAAAATCATTTCAAAACGACGCAGAATCTCCAATGAGAATTCATTTGGCTTTGGGTGTTTTTTTTTTTTTGCATGTCTGAAAACACGGAAAACCTTGTCAGATTCATGTGTATTTTGTATTCGTCTGCTCATAGGCCATTTACATAGCTGCTGATTTTAGGAAGGTAGTTCTCGATGTTTCTTATCGTATGTCTCATATTACACCTTGACTGTTAGCTTTTTGACGGTATATATGCCTGTGATATGTTTTCTGAACTAAAAGGCACAGAGTGAAAAGTAAACTTATCTATTCAGTACCTGCTCAAACTGACAGATCGTAGGCTTCTTGTCAATATTGATGTTGTTCTGGCAATTCCCCGAAAAGCTGGTAATTTCATATCTTATACATGTCCTGTTCGCCAACTAAACAAACCTACAAACATGTGGGACGCTGGTTAAAAAGTCCACAGATAGGTTTTTAGATAAACGGGTTGGTTGTAGCAGGATTTTAGTGAAATTTTCAAACATAGCTGACTTATTGATTGTCTGATTGATCGATTGATTGATTGAATAATTGATTGATTGGTTGGATGATTGATTGGTTGATTGATTGATTGATTGATTGATTGATTGATTGGTTGATTGATTGATTGATTGATTGATTGATTGATTGTTGATTGGCTGATTTATCATTTGTACATTTTTCTTCAGAAAACCATCCCGAGGTATTAAACAAGGCAAGAAAACCAAAGAAGAGGTCTACAAAGGAGAATTTAAGTACAGTGCCCAAAGGCTTTACGAGAAGGGTGTAATCTTAGAAATAGAGGGCTTACCTACCTCACAGTAAGTGAATGAAATTAATATATATGCGATATTAATGTGGTTATGAGCCTTTGGGTTTTTTAACTTAAAAGTTGGTAAATTGATTCTTGTCCTTCAAATGAGAGTTTTCATCCTTTTCCTCCGGCTTTCTTCTTTCTATGAAACATCTGAAGTCAAATAGTCAATTTACTGGTAGTGACTTCAAAATAATAACACAAGACAAATTACGAGGCTGCTTTAATCAACATAAGAGCATGTTATGTCTATCTTTTTTATCGCGAAGTAAACACTGAAGAAAAACGTTTTTTTTCTTGTGTATTTATAGGTTCAAGAATGTCATGTTTGAGGTCAAGTCAGGAGACGATGTTGGATCGTTCGTTGTATCGGCAAAGTTCATGGGGGTGGACATGGAAAAAGTAGAACTGGTTTTTCAGGTTTGTTTGGTGTGTTAGTTGTTTCGTGCATTCATTTCCTTATCTCAATCTACCTTCATCTATCTTTATATTAACGTGATCCCAGTCAAAATAAAGAAACGCCTGAAGGTGATGCTGGTGCAATGTGCGCTTTTCTCAGCAAATTGTCTCTCAAGAAGCTCATTGCTGGAGAATTACACAGTAAAGGGGGTTGTCCATGCCAACAGTGCTGTTTTGTTGTTCGTGTTGCTGCTGCTGCTGTTGCTGTCAATGTTGTTGCTGTTGTTGTTGTTGTTGCTGTTGTTGTTTTTGTTGCTGTTGCTGCTGTTGCTGTTAATGTTGTTGCTGTTGCTGTTTTTGTTTTGTTGTTGCTGTTGTTGTTGTTGTAGTTGTTGTTGTTGCAGCTGTTGTTGTTTTTGTATGAAGAAGAAGTCGGAAAAACAATGAAGCAACTTGCAATGACAGGTCATTTCCTGCTAAGCTATGATTTTTGAGGCGCGTAAGCTATAAGCGTAACGCGTCTTAACTCCTTAACCTCTGTTATACTAAACAATTCTCCGCTGTGGAAAAATTGCACAATCCAGCAGCGTCTTTAATCACTGGTACATTTCTCAACAGGACCTTTTACAGTTGCAGTACGAAGGCGTGGCGGTCATGAAGATGTTCGGCCGAGCAAAAATCAATGTTAATTTACTCATCTTTCTCTTAAACAAGAAATTCTACGGCAAATAGTAGATGAATTTACAAGAGAATTTTCAAATGCACTGTTTGTTGAACAAACCATGCAGGAATCTTCCTCGTCCCAGGAAAGCGCACCGCACACGACCAAAGGAAACCCGAAAGTAATTTCATAAGAGACATAGTAGAACATTCACAAAAGAGAGTCAAATGGCTTGTTATTACCCAGAGCACCTGTGGGCTTGTTAAAATGGTTGCAAATAACTGGTATTGATAATGTGTCGATAAAATGCATTGAATTTAGATAAAATTTGTCTTGAGTTGGAGAGAAGACTTAAAACCCGTGAAAACGATATCGCAGGTTTTGAGTAAATTAACCGTTGCCACTTCATCCTAAATTGTACTAATTACGGTAATTGTTTCCTGAGTGTAGTATAAAGTAGAATTCATCAGTTGATGGATATACTGCTAAAACTCTCACTATAACTGGTAGATAAGGTCTATATCTAACTTGGACTCCGTCTTAGTTTCACCTCTCACATCCTTGGCCTTTACTAATGGATCCTCAACAGGCCATACGCAGGGACGCCTTTTTCTAGAACAAAACATTAAGGTAAATGCTTTATATTCTCGCCAAAATAGCCCCTCAAAACAACTCGCATTATAAACACGAAAAGGGATTGTGGAAATAATTCCAACAGTCGTAGAGAAAAGCACGAGAATTGAATTTACCGATAATTCATGAAAATGGCGTCACCGCGTTCAAATATAAAATAGCATCTTTCTGTAAAACCGTCTGATTCTGAAGAAATTGGTAATTTATCAAAGAGAATAACATGATTATTTTAAGGAGTAGATTTTCTGTAGACACGTTTCAGAAAGGTATTTTAGTACCATACATAGTGAACCCCATAGTGGCTCACTTCTCATTATAGTTTTAAAAGATCAAATTAAAAATACGAAAATATCATAATAAACCTACAAATTCGGACGCACAAGTGCTTAACTATCACGGACACTAGTATAAGACCTCACTTTTACGGACACTGCTTGATTTGTATATATTATTGAACCTCCGTAAATACGGGCAAAGATTATTGTCCGCAATTATGAGGTTTTGATATACAGTTTCTAAGTACTGGCCAAATAAGTTACCGCCATTTTAGAGATGTTTAGTTAGCTCACACACGAAACAGAAAACACTGCATTCACGCATTAATGTAAAACACCAATAATATGAAATAAAACTGACTTATCAGTGGCATAAAAACTATTTACAACCTTAAATGCGTGTGCAAATTACACATGGCATCAGCCGCTGTCGCCGCCCTTATGCCCTTCTTGGTTAGGGATATTAGAAGTGATCTTATTATCCTTCAAACTGCGCCACGCGTCGGGATACTTTTTATTGCCGCCAAATTAATCCGCTTCAAAACGATTTCTGCTTGCTCGCTTGTTATGCAATTTCCTCTTTCTCTTCCGATGTGATTCAGATGATCAAAAAAGGAAAGGAGACGAACAAACCAATAAAATAGAAAATGAATACAGAAAATATAAAAAATAACATATGAGGGGAGCTTTGTCATTTACATCAAAACAGTTGGAAATTTATTGGAAGAAAATAGAAAATTGTCAACAGGAAAAAGTTGAACGTGATGTAGTATCTTGAACGTAACCCGCTTTTTTTCCCGTTTCAACAACCACGTGATTTATTTTAACCAATTATATCACGGCTCACTTTAGGAATAATTTACATAAATGATGACATTCTATTGTATTCCGAGGGTTTTGATTGGTTGATTGCTGACCCTCTTCGACCGAAATGGAACGCCGCTAGACGACTGACAACACGCTCGACCCAAACCAATATGGCGCACCCGAGGAAATTTGTAGAAAAAATAGCGATACATAACCAACGAATGGCCGAGGAAACTCGAGCCTTTGAAGAAATCATGAAAGAAGTATCCGTTTTGGGGGTAAGCTTAATGCCGAGTCGTTTCAAATGAGAGTTTTGAAGCAAAGGGGGTAGAAACTTTGGCAACAAGCTCTTGATCTATTTTGCTTTTATCACTAGAGTTCCATAAAGGCTAATTCAAGTCAACATCATAGATCTCTTCCCAATGTGAATACTATAGGCTTTGGACAAAATCATATTGACCTCCAGGTTGGTATTTGAACAGCAAATGTTACTTGGCTTGTTTCATAGGCTGGAACGATGTGAGACCAAGTTGTCTTGAACTTCGTGGCTTACGTTTGTTTCCCTGTTTTGATCWTAGAGAGCGCTCATGAACTTGGACAATCTGCAGAGGCTACCAGGACGAATGGAGCACTCGCCGATGCGGGAACGAAGGTTTACGGCACCTAGATCGACGCCATTTCCAACAAAGCGAAATTCATTTGGTATCCTTTTTCACTTGGTAGTTGTGTACAACGTATTACTATTACTTATCTAGTGTGTATATTTAGCGAGATTGACAACTGMATTTACATCGATTTGCCTTGTTGTTGTCTTTCCTATTTAATACGTTTTTAGCTGCTTCTCCCTAACTTGTTTTACAATATTCAAAAATTAATTGTCCGACAGCTAAAACAGCTTGTTTCAAAGCGAAAGCTCGATGAAAAACGCTTGTACTTTCGTCGATTTTTCGCTGATAAACACATGGTTTTTACTCGGCTCGTTTGGTTGGGTGACTTGATCGCGCCCTTACGTTTTATACTCAGAATAGTGTTGTTCCATTTCTGCACTTTTTTATTAAGTGGCGACAATTTTTTATTCCTTGACTGTCACGAAGATCCCTCTCCTTATCATACAGCCCCTCCGTACCATCTCACACCACCACAGATGGATCAAGGGCAGAACTGGAGAAGGTAGAACTTGTCATACGTTGCTTGATAGATCTTAGGATCGTATGAGTGCGTTGAGCGGTTAAAATCAATCAACCATGTATGTGGCACCGTTATTGCTATATTTACCATCCACAGCTACCCTTGCAATGTTTACTTGGTAATCAAATTTTACAACAGCGTCTTCGAAATTTGATAGCACAATGTTTTTGAGCTCGTTTCATGTAAAACGTACAAGCTTTCGATGTGTTTTTTGTCCTATGTTGGGTTCTTGTACATTCCAAAAGCTATGACAGATCTTTAGAAATAGAACTGTTATGGTCACACGCAGAATATCACTTGCAAAATGTTGTTTTTGTRWACTTGTCTGCTCAACATCRTAGACAATCTGAGAAAAATTCAGGATATTGTCAAGAATATGAATTCCTATTTCCTGTKGACCAAAATATACCCGAATGATTTCGATGTTGTTTTGAACTGTTATTGCCGTAGTATCATAAATCACTTTTTGCACTAGATGTTTACATCGTTGGCTGTAATTTGACAGTATTTTTGGATTTAATAGTGGCTTTGTGATTATACAGTTCAGTTCCATCCAGTTGGCAAACAAAATAACATAGAATAAATSCGAATATAGAGCAAGTTAACTTGTAATAATCACGTAGATGATTTTGAGCTCTAAATTCTTAACTGTTTTGATTGTGTTGTATTTTAATTCGAGTGTTCTACAGTAGCATGTTCTTATAATGATCTGTCGAAGGACTGTACTTTATATATAATGTTTTGTTCTATTTTTAGCTGTCTTTGGATAGCTTCAACATATTAGTTCGCTGCACAGAAGCAAAACGGCTCAAAATGTAACGAAACACCTTTAACACAAAAGTGACAGAAACATCAAATGTTAAATAATTTTTAACAACTCCCCTTCGTCTTAAAAGACTTTTTGACAATCTGTAGTAATTATTTTGACTAAGATGTCATTTTGGGCAGTGGAGATATAAACTTCTTATGTTCATATATGTAAACAAGCTAAAAGAGGCTTTGTTACTATTAGTTAAAATAATACAGGGTTTAGAAATTATTTTGATCAAAATACTTTAACCAAAGAGAGTTTTTTGTGTTGACAATTATTTGCTATTTGGTCACATTGTCTKTTTTCTTTTCTATCATGCTTTCTTTTTAAATTCCTTTTTCTTTTGATTTTCTTTACTTATATTATGTATTCAATTTTTTTGAATGTGTTTTTTTTTATTTCATATTGATGTTACATTTGTTTCTTTTTTCTTTTTGTTTTTTTGTTTTACTTTCTCATCTTGTTTGTTGAAGATGGAATCTTTAGAATACCGTTTTGCTTTTCAATTCAATGAAATATATATATTTGTCAATAATATATAATAATTTGATTCTACTCAATTTTAACCAATGTAAATGCAACAATTTCTGAATAGCATAAGTGTGCTTACATTCTTGAATTTGACCTGTTTGTGGACATTTGAATTGCACAAACTTGTATTGATCTGATCAAAACACATCCAGCTATAGGTGTCTAAAAGCTAAACATCATCAAGCACATTCTCAATTCAACAGTTAAAGATTGCTTTTCACTTTTACCTTCAAACTTGATCATAGTTATGAAGAATACCATGCAACGTTTTAGCCATAAAGACGGATGTTTTGACAGGATATATATATATAGAGAGAGAAAAAAAATAGATTTGTTATATTATATTTTGCTTTTCACAACTCACTTTTTTATCTTCCATGATGTTTTGAGATTTTTATACTASTTTTACTGTTTCTATTCACTTGGTTTGATCTGTCCTGCTAATGTTGTGCCATAACAAACTATTTGTTAACTAGAGAACATATTTTTAAGAATTCTCAATCTTATGAATGTGTAAGGTTGAATTTTACCACACATTGGAGGTTTGACAATTGCTCATGTTATGTGCCCAACCACACAATGAAAAAATGGCATAATCACTAACTAGTACATGGAGATTTGTTCTGTCATTATTAATTATTTGTCTTATTTTAGAGCCATTTCGGACTCATCTCTACACCAAACTGTCATGGGAGGRTCTCATCAACTTAAAGGTAAAAATCCCTGAATTCTGCAGACTTAATCCTTGTTTCCATGTTACCCTAATAACAGTTGACAAGTTAAGCTATTCTCTTGTCTTATTACCAATTGGAAAAAGAAAYTTTCTCATTTAAAAGAATATAAATAATAAAGGCGAGACTAAAAAGTAAAGTGGGAATGCTGTGTGCTATCTGCAATGAGTTGCGTATTTGGTCAGTTGGTTTTGCTTTCTTTACTCAGAAAGCATCTTGGGATACATTTTGGTATGTATTCTATCCCATGATGCTTTCTGGTTTTAGCATTGATCTCTTTGGATTGACGATTTTTTTATATACATGCAGAATTAATTGATATATTTGCACTATATTATTAGTATTGTTGAGTCTTCGATACAGAGAAGATTTGTGTGCAAAAAACATAGCACTTTTCTGTACTCAATATGTTGTTACTAGGAGGCAATATTCTGCGTGCTGTCTCTCCAGTGATCTTTGCTGCTCCACAGTCATGCATACAGATGATGCTGTCAGATTATTAACAACTTATTGTCTTTAATTATTTAAGTTATGCAACAAAGTATTAAATAACAACAGTAAATTCTCATTTATTTACAGAAATTGATATCAACAAAATGGGTGAAATTAAGAGGGTGAGCATCCTTCAATAAAATAAAATAAAAACCTTTCATATATTACTACACCAAAAGATACTCCATGAATCTAATTTACCCAGTGTTTAATCTAACATGTCTGATAACCGTGTTTTGCAGGCTGGGAGTCCACAGAATAGGCCACGCTCATGTGAAGTCCCTGGTATAAAGTGAGTGTTTGTCTTGTTCATTTACAGTTTTTTGTTCACTTTAGTTATATTTCTACTCACTGTTTAATATGCATGTAAGGGCAGCCAGAGTTAAGATAAATAGAAAGGCTTTGTGTTTATGTAAAACCTTATTTGTACATGATTATGCCATATGTTAAGGTTCCAACCATAATCACAGTGGCTTTTAGCGACTTAAATTAGTCATCTTCTTCAAATTTGAAAAAGCTATTGTCACACTGTCGTCCTTTGAAGCCTCTAATAGACCTAATTGGCTAACGGCGTTGCTATGTACGTTGCCACCCAATTCAAATCCTGTGGGAAAAAGAACTTTTGTTTCTAAGAATTCAACTGTGAAATGAAAATACAACAAACAATGAAACTTACTCCCGGTTTATTTGAATTGGGTTGAAGCCGATTAGGTCTATTGTCAAACTCAACATGATCAAGCACATGCAGTTCATAACAGGGAAATTCAGTGTATAAAGTTTAAAATACATTGTACTATAAGCAACACTAGTTTGAAAGSCTTTAAATTATACTTTTAGTCCATTTCTGCCTTATTTTAATCTTTTCTACTAACTTGAGTCCTTCAAATGTCTATTCTATAGCTTGCACAGTACAAGTAAAAAATAAATCAGTTTTGCAATCAAGTGTATAAAAAAGACAGGTCTTTGACCTAAGAATCTCCTGCTAATCAATGCAACCAGAAGTAGGAGTTTACAGGCAAACCAGTCAATTAAAACCAATTCTTCTAGATACGAGAGACAGAATTAGAGCTGTTACTGTTCATGGAAACTAATCAAAGTATAAAATCTTACAGAATGTTTCCAACATCTGAGCAAGCTTCACCATTGAGCACACCTCAGTTGGCTAACACTGGCTCATTGCCAGACTTAACTAATCTCCACATACCGTCCCCGCTTCAAACGCCAATTGACACTGAAGATACTCAAATGAACCAGACCGCATCTCCACCTCATTATCCAACATCACCCAGACCAACGAATGTTCGAAGGCATTCCCCAGTACTGGAGAAACAGCCATTTCCACCTGCAATGCCATACATGGACCAAAATATCTCACCTCTCGAGTTACGGTTACAGCAATTTCAACCATATCAACAGTCACCGTCAAGTAGTTCTGACATTTCCAGTCAGTTTGGCTCACACTGTACAACTGTGTCATCACCTACTATGTCTCCAACAGCACCTCCGATCATGTCACCTCTGTTTAAAAACTTTCCAACGCAAATGACAAATGATTCGTTGAAGCAGCACCATCCAATGAACAACTCAGTTCACCAACAGATGCCACCGGATTCCATTGGAATGGGCTTTGCCTATGCAGGAGGTAGTCTTCCTCAAAGACTTCATTACCCTTCCCTAGGTAACCACCAACARGGWATGCATTCTCCCAACAGCTTTGGTCAATTTTATTCTCAGGCTGGTGCACGGGTACCAGATTTGATTGTCACCAGTGAAGATGAGGAATCACAGAGATTAGACTTTGCTCGGGAACTCACATCGGCAATGGTTAATGTTGGAGGTGGTAACCCAACAGATTTTTATAACAACGAAGATCCATTAAAAGTTGAGTTGGGTCAGCTTGACATGGAGAGCTTACAGATGTTGTCAGGGCATAGTGACTCTGAAGTGGCCGACCAAGCAACAGAGGATCAATTTCGCTTGGATAGAATGTCAGGGTATGTTTTCTCTTACTGAGATTTGTAAAATTTATTCATAATATTGGTTTGCCTCAGGTTGCTATAGCATTCCCTGCTTGCTGTTATGAATATAATATGGCTGTATTAATCGTACATCACATGTTTAAAGACYCCTTCCAGTCCATAGGAATGCAGCTCCAACTGGAGGACAAAACATTGGATTCTAGTTCCCCAAGAGGGCAAAAACCTCTTGTTTTGTCCTCCAGATGAAACTGCTTCAACATTACATGCAAGGAGTCTATAGTCGCAACACTGAAGACAATTTTCTCTCTCTCTCTAGATCGGCGTATGGATTTCCTTAAAATATATTCTCTCTGGATTGTATTACTAAAATCTACATTGTGTTGCTCCAAGAGTACAATGTTCAGATGTGTATAAAATGTATAGTAATTCAATTGCTAGACCATCACTGGGATCCTACGCAAATGCAGAGAAGATCAGTCTACATCCCAGAATGCAGCTCTGGTGACAAGAACAAAATGGAAAAAAAATTTAGAAAAGGACAATGAAAGGAGCAGTCAGTACTGGTAGCCAGGCCCACTTGTGGTGATTGGCCACAGGTATCCCATCACACTGTGCTTTTTCAAAGAAACTTAATATGATGAACAGACTTAAAAAAAATCCAATGTGTTAACTTATTTTTGAATGCATCTAGATTAATAAGTGTTAATATCAAGTATATATATTGTACTAGCTAGTAATAATCAGGTATACATGTCGCACAATGTCTTCAAATTATAAATGACAACCATGTTTCATGCATTATATATTGGACTTCCTTGTGAGGGACTGGAACTCTTTACCAGTTCCCACTAGGTCAAGAGTGGTACAGGTGTCCCAACCTATTGTTGTGGTTCTATCTATGGTTAATGTTTATACTTCTGACATTATAGCAAAATTAAGAGAAGGGATACATATATAAGTTTGCACTCTACAACCAGGTTTTCTTTCATTTTTTCACAACTTTGTCAAAGTTGTAAACCTTGATGTGTAATTTATGACTTCTTTGAGCATTCAATGAGAGTGAATGACCATTTTACTCTCTTAAAGTGAGTATTGGTTACAGATACTTTGGTTTACTTCAATACATGCGTCAGTACTTTTGGAGAACAATTTGTAGAGTAGTGAAAAGAGAGGACTAAAAACGTTTAGAAAACCTGGTTACTTCTTATAGCATCCATGTTGTCACACAACACTTTTGTCACTCAATTGTGTGAATACCATATATGGTAGACTTGTCTTGAAGCTTGTGTTACATTGTGTATGCAGCAGTTAGCGTATTCTCTGCTATTGACAGCCTTTCTATATATGGGGTAGTATGGATATCTGAAACTTATATTTATTTCTACATGGAATGTATATTTATCGTCCAGTTCAAATCTGATATCAGAAATTACCTGCTTTCTAAGCATAATTGCTTGCCAATAGTATGAACTAGTCATTCATTTGTAAATCTGTCACGTTTCTCTATCTATCCTACCAAAAAGATTTTAACAAAAAGATTCTAACCCAAAAAGCATTTTAATGCTTTTTTATCAGATTCAAACAAGTACTACTTCCCAAAATGTATGTAAGACAGAGTAAATACAATATGTCAGTGCATTTAATTAGATGTATAGTGTATAGACTCCTTGCAGTTTGTGGGTATGCAATTCTAACTGAAGGACAAATGAATATATTCTAGTTCCCAAGAGGGCAAAAATCTTTTGTTTTGTCTTCTAGATGAAGCTGCTTTGAAGTCACATGCAAGGGGTCTATTGAAGTATTGTGTAATCCTGCTAATTTCCTATGTCTGCATAGCATTTTGATCTGATGTCTTTAATCTAATATCTTAYAATGTTGCTTTGTGTGATCATTTTTAACATAGAATACTAGAGTTTTCACTTTTTAAAGTAATGTTTAGCACATTAAAGGCTGTTCATAGTAGCGAAATTATATTAGCTGAATATTTAGAAGGTGATATTGGTAAATCTGGTTGTAATTTCATTATAATACAGTCAAAACCTTCTGTTTCAAACACTGTGGATTGAATGTTTATTTCTGAAGAACTTGGTGCGGCTATTGGTCCATCATTTTGCRATTTGTTCAACATTTTTCCTTSATGAAGTCTCATAAGGYCAAGTAGTGTATTGTAAGGGTACTACATACATAATATAATAACAATGAATGCAATGTTTTAGTATATCTCCTCCTAAGGTAGCACTAAGGTTTGTCTTCAAACTTGTGAAGGAAAACAACTCAGTCTGGCTCTGTTATGAAACAAACATGTAAATTAGGTAATTGTGTGAAWGTTCTTGGCAACCTTGTTACTAGGCCCTCCCATACTGGTATGACAAATGGGATCTGGTAACGAGTTCARTGTTTATGCATTTTTTATACTCTTGATGGTGAAGGCTACTAACAGAGCAATATAAAGTTTGATGAACAAAAATAAATTTCAGAATGGTGTATTCAACTGAGATATCTTTCGTGTATTGAGTGTACATATAGTAGAGTACAAATACAAGACCTCCAATTCTTACCAATCTCTCTTTTTTAAACACTTCAAACAAGTCAGAAATTCTAGACAAGCAGTAATTCTAGAKTCGTTACAGACTACCCGTGAAAAAATTGACTGCAAGTTAGAAGACATTACTTTGATTGTTTTTCTTTGATCCAACAGCARTATTGCTCACTTGTAATTACTGTTTTACCATGGTTAATTTATAACGAGTCTATTTAGCCGACTGTTTTGCAAGAGTAAATAAAGAGAATTTATTTAACTCGCAGCTTTGACTTAGACTSAAGAAAACGTTTACTTTTTTCTGAGATTGTGGAATTATCCTTCCACAAATAACTGAAATACTGGAAATATTARAAAAGAGTTTTTCAAGAACTTTGATCGATAATCAGTATTTATTGTCGTATCTTTGTAATGTAAATGTAATGCGTTGTTATTCAGTAATAGATATAAAACTGTCAGAGCCGTCATCATATAACTGAAAACTCGTCAAAYAGAAACCAATATATCTATTGATTGCAAACATTTTAAAATGTATTTGAAAATGCGAATACAAWTAAAKGTAAAGGTGCTGTTAAACTGCAATTTTCTCAGTAAAAGCGAACGTCGCCATGTTTTAGGATGACTAATGTTTCGTCATCATGGTYATTATCCAAGATGGCTGACATGCAAAAGAGAAAAAATAGTAAYAATTTGAAAATCTAAAGCAAAGAAACCTGACAATTTTTTTCCTATACAGCAAAAATATCTGATATAAGTATTCTTCATCTTTCCGACGCCCGCAGGCCTTCGTCATAAAACCAAAGTAGATTTTTTATATATTTCTAGCAACATATTAACTTCACACAGAGTAATTGAGTAATGATGTTCAAAAGTTGTTTTTTTTTTAAAGTTGTAGTCAACTATGACGAAATAACCACACGTCATTTTCGTTATCAAGAATAGAMTKTACGTATAATGATGYTTTTGTCTTTTGCCGCCGAGCTCGAGAGTTATCCACACGTGCGTAGAGGCATGGACAGCATATGGYGATMAATTCTACGCTATGATTGGTTGTTTCCGTTGCTAGGCACCCCCAGGGCTGCTCACACTCCATAATCAGGTGAAATGAAGTAGAGAATAATTAGCATTTGAAAGAAATCATGCTTTATTTTAGTAAATAAAAGTCTTTTGTCTATTTTGAAAAATTAATCACTTTGAAGAATCACTTTTGTAATTTTCCCGTAATTCCCCKGACATMTTGTACATGGGGCTGTTAGGATATTCGCACATTTTTGACATCTAATCAAACAGAAGCAAAATGAAATGTTAACTTTAACCAGTTTGGAAATATTAAAATCCAAAATARTCGTTTTTTATTATAGTGGCTAATTGATAATGTAATTCTCAAGATTTTGTCCAGCTACGCTCCTTTCAAACAAGGATCCAAGAAGTGTTATTTTCTCGCATTAGGAAGTCCCKGTTCAACGTCAGTCACTGAGGAAGATCTAAAGAGCGCAGATAAAATTAATGAAAGACAKCACTTCTTAACTTTCATAGAGCTTTTCAAGCGGAAAGAGCTGCCACCAGCTTCAAAACAAAAGACTTTAGCGCTATCGTTTTGTTTTGGCTGGTTTTCTTTGATGKTACACCAAACGAAAGTCAAATAAACGCTGAGTAATGGTTGACTCGTACAGGATGTAATTTATGCTTGATTTTGACCATATAAACTAGCTCACTAACTACGAAAGATTAGTACAACTGCGATATTCACCACATGGGAGAGTAATTTCCAGTTTTAAATGGCCCGATATAATAATTTTGATTTCTTTTCACAGACTAAATTAGACTGTCTAGTCGGTGTATGGAAAGAGGAATCAGTTCCCCTAAATTATGTCAAGTTGTATCTTTTGCAACTTACGAAATGAAAAGCTCTGAGAAGACTTATATTAAAACCCTAGCTTTCCGCTCTCTGTCAATATTCCCTCGAAATTTGCAAATACCCCGAACAACACGAGGAAAACAATTGTCGTGGTAATACTGTGATTATTGACCTAGAGGACTGTATTGTGATTGGCTAAGCCAGACAGCTGGTGGCATCTATCGCAGCCAATAGTATTATCAATCATGTTCCTGTGTATTCGGATGTAGCGAGTCGCGAGCATTTATAAGTTTACTGCTCGAGACTAAAATGCTCGTAGAAATATTGCTAAATCAAAGGTTAAGAGAATGAAGTGCAAGTCAGACTCTTGGTTTTCTATGGAATAGAAGCGATGCAAGCCGAAGTGCACAGGTGCGTTCAACTACTTTTTCTTTTCATGGAGAATTTCTCGTCATAGATTGTGAACTTATCATTTTTCTGAGGGATTACCGTGCAGAATCTGACCTACAAACATCTTTAATCGAATTCWCACCAATACGAATTCACGGCTTACATTTTTCATTTCGTAAACAAGTTTGATCTTTAGTCTTTTCRAATTGAAGATTCTTKATAAAGTGGGGTAGAAGTGTGTTGTAGACTGTGTAAGTGTGACTGTATGTGATGTTATACCATCARCGAAACGTATTGTGTATCYCYCACACCTGTTCGCTTTGACGGATGGAAATTGAATTGGCCTTCAACATAACCCTTTCCTTTTCTCTACATTCTCTTTAGCTTCTCCAGTACTATTTTATGTCGACGAGTTTGCGATAGATGCAGAAAGGTCATTCGGTTTTTCGGTTACCGATGCAGGGATTGCAGGTTAGTGATACACGCATGAATTGAGACTTTCTTGTGCTATTTTTGAATGGTGTTATTGAATGCTGGGCTTTTGATATGAATATTAAACTGAGTAGCATAGAATCAATCCTCGAAGACTTTTACCCGGTAAACAATCGGAAAACAGAAATTTCATCTAATTTATGTTAAATTAATTTTTGTTTTAGATACAAATGCCACCGAAAATGTTCGTCCTGCATTTTGCAGCAATGCCAAAGCGTACAGTACCAAGCAAAGCAAAGTAAGGAGTCTTAAAACAATAAATATTTTGGATAATATGTAGCTATTTAATTTTTTGCKTTCAGGAATATCACTTCGGATACGGCTTTGCGCCATAAGCATCTTCTATTCCATATTCATTTTGGTGKTTTTTTTTTCATTATTAGTGACATGCAAGGTTGGAAAATTTTGGCATAAACAYCCCAAGGATAGAAGAAAATGGCAACTAAACTCRAAATTTGATCCAATTGYCAGCAGAGGTGCAGGATCAGGTCATTTAGAGCGTAGTTTGCGACCTAGAAAATACATAGACGCAAAGGGGAAAATCAGACAAAAACTAATCAACGGAATCTATGATTCTTTCTGCTATAATCCACGACATGGCATTGATTTAAATCCATCGAATGAATCGCAGACTTTTTCACCCAAAGTTGCAAATGTAACAGTACACCGAAAAAGAGTCGAGCTATCGCCATTACAGCATGATATTGACATTGTTAACGAAAACAACCGCTGCAACCCACAACCCGGAGAGCAATTTCTACCATGTCCWAATTCTTGGAAACGAACTTACTCTTGGTCAAGTCGACATTCTGCCATGACATCGTTTACATCGTCCTCAGGGTATTCCTCAATGCCAGCGTCATGTCCATCCTCTGCAAACTCTCACCGAAGCACATCGCCTACACCTGATTTTGCAAATATTCGCTCGCTTACTGCGACTTTAGAACGCTGCAGCCTTGAAGAAGGGATAGATATGGACGAAAGGCATGTTTATTGGGAGAAATCGCTACCTTTTATTCGACTACCAGGAACATGGCCGCTTTCAAGGAAAGTAAGACAATCTCACCGAGAAACGAAGAGGATTTTCTCAGGTATGGAAATTATTGTATTAACACTCCACTTGACGAATTCTATTTTATTTCTAGGCCCTGTTTCCGTKTTATTCTCGCTTGCTATTTCTTTCTTTGTATGTATTTCTTGTCGTTATTGACTTAGGAATGATATGTGATGTTTTCTAGTAGTTTATGCAAATGTAGAGTGTTTTCTTTACGTTTGAAAACTAAAAAACACTTCAATTCTCATCGGCTCCCAATAATGTCATGTAGTGAAAATTCGCAACTTTTTGAAATCACAATCTTGAACTTCGATGTATTTTACTTGGGTTTTGYTGCCAAGAATATCTGAAAATGAACATTGATTGTCCAAATAATTATTCTATTCTGGTCTTTGACGTTTTGTCTTTGGCTCCCACACAATCTTGAATCTAGACACTTTTAAATTGAGAATCAAACGCAATTCARAATGATGTCGAAAATCAATAAATTACGATGTATGAGTCATTCCGACCAGCGCTTTTTTTGCAACGCGTTTGTAATTGCGGCAACAGTACTCATTTGCATCAGAAATATGTCATAATTCTTCACTCTGTGATTTACACACAAATCGATCTACCTGATTTCGAATTTTCGAGAGTTATTTGCAGTCACGAGAGACCGCAGATTATGCCGAGTGCCGTCTAGGAAAGCTTATCGTACATGTACGGTGATGTGGGATTTAAAAGTATTATAAAARCTAAGGTGCTCTTTGGTTCTTTTTGGCATTATGGACAGTCTTAACAGCAGAGCTCAAAGACWTCCTGGTGAAAACGTTCAGGGTGATTAACATCTCGTAAAAGTCTTTCCATTTAGTATATTTTCGATTAATTATCTGGCTTTCTCGACACTGTATGAATTCTGCCGGCTTTTTAAAAATAAACTGTTTAAACAGACTAGGAATTCAGCATAATTATAAATGTATTTTTTTTGGACTAGAGGAGCGAAAGAAACTAAACTGGCAAACTTTATTCATATTATTATCATATAATTAATAATGGCTGTTCAGGCGATGGTGCAATTTCTTCAAAGTTCGGGGTTTCTCTTTAAACGCCTCTTCTTTTGCAATTCAGTCCAGTGCTGTTATTCTTATTACAGATAAAAAATAAACAACTTATAATTTGACGTCAAGTCTCTATAAATAAGGTCTTTGTATCTTATTTTTACAGCGATGAGTATGCATTTTTACCATTGCGTGCGAGCTGTCTCATCTAACACAATTGACAAACAATTAACTCCACTATACGAAATCAGCATAAATGCTTCATAAAGTTRCGAGGCACTTTTCACGTTAGTTTAATCCTAGAAAAGCCGAACTTTTCCAATCCAAAATAGCGTCTCCAAATCCAAAAGTAATTGCAAAGATAGGCYATCATTCTTAAAGAGGAAATGGTTCCGTCAGGTTAATGGAGAAATATAAAAACTCCTYCTTTCTGTTCAAATGAGTTAATCACGTGGGAAAAGAGCATTAGTTGTACAATATGGCTCCAATTTGCTTCCTTATTTACATATATATGCATTTTTATGAATATTAAACACTCGAATTTGAACTTTGTGGAGAGATCTCATACGATAACAACGCGTTCTTCCCAGTTGTCTCGGAGTCGCGCCGTTAAAATGCAAGAAGATGCTCAAAAACAATYACATCAGACTTGATGTCTAGCTTCTTGAGGTTTATTTGCATGAAAAATAACGAAAACTTCCAGCCACAATTCATATATCGATAAGCGTTGATTGTTCAACGGGCGTTGCCACTCGTAGTCTTGAATGGCATGCGTGGTTCACGTGATCTCAAGCATCAGTTTTGACACCTGATGTGTTTGATATTGCTGTTCACTTGCTGTCGAGACCAAGAATAATCGCTTTGCAACAAAGCCATAGTAACTCAAAACTATAATCCTTTAAAGTGCTTTCAGGTATTATGCTGAGTTGCGCAACCTTTTGGAGACAAAATCGCCCAGTTTTCTGCCTAACTTGAAAATTGYAATCATGCCAAWTTTTTTAGCAATATTAATACGTTTGATGCTCTTCTACTTAACGCAAATGTATTATTAAACAGAGAGCAGACTTATTCAAATCTATCATAGCACACGAGAACTCTCTGAGCTCTGTTTACTTAAGAATGCGCTGCAACATATAAGATCCCTACATGAGGGCAATATAAGCATCCCTTCAATTGCTTTTMATGTTTTTCCATAAAATGGCTACTTTTCATCAAAACCCTGCATTGTTTGTACGCAAACACTCAATCCGTGACGTTCACCAGTTGTTTTCACTATTAGCGTTTGTTGAGTGGCTATTTGACTCGCACAGCGACCCGAGTACAGCTAGAGAAAAATGGAGCACGSAGTGCATAGAGATAGATGTTTTTAATCGTAGAAATAAGACACCGATACGAGCATAAGTTCAACAAACCAGAAATAATTCGAGAAAAAAACAGAAGGATTGAAGTCAATGACATAAGACAGAGACAAACACATAAGCGCATTCACAAGTACGGTCACAAGACAAATTCTCATGATTTTAGTGAGCCAAACTTCAGCTCTTTTATGGCGAAAAAATGTGTCTTTTCATAAATGTGAAAGTAAACGTATACTTGGAAGGATAAAATGTGAAAACATTTTTTTTAAATCAATGATATCAAGACTCCTGTGTCTTCCTGTGAAATGATCTATGAGCAAATTGAACACATTGAACAGTTATCTGCAAAATCAAAACGGAATATAAACACCGTCTCCACAAATCAAATTTGTCTGCATGCGCGCTTTTTAAAAGCTTCATGATTTGACAGCGGAGTTCCTCCCAGGCGCTTAAAGAAAACCTTTCACTATTATAAGTATCAAACAATGCGTGGCGGGAGCTAAGGTGATAACTCTTGTCCAGAATCTGCATATCTGCGAGCTGAATTATAAATGTTCAGATTAAAGACAGCATTTGTAAAGGATATACCAAGCAGTAAAAATAACATTTAAATAGTTATCGAAATAACTAGATTGCTTTCGTTAACCCGATACGTTACGTAAAATCGAAAGGTTGTTATCAAATACGGAAGTAGTTCGATACGTCGACCACAGTACTTCCGCGAAGCGACGGAAACATGGAGGAGTCTTTATCTTTCTTCCCTATCAATTATCTGTCCTATTAGGCCCTCTTTTTTCATTCTTAATCAACAAGTTTAATAAAATGAGGAAAAGAGAAGGACAGTGCTACTTCCTCACCTACCAGTGTTCACTAGGTTTGATTAGGTATCCTGCTGATACGTTTACCAGAGAATATATTTGAATGTAATGCATTCAAATGGTTTATGTTTGCCATATTTGTAGCTTTCTATCTACCATTTTGTTTAAATGATCTTAARAACCAGCATCTTCGATTTTTGATAAACAGGGTGACCAGCCAATCAGATCACATAGTAGATCAAAGCAGTCTTACTRTTTGACCATATATCTTTCAGTCTGCCTAGCGAATTTTAGGTGAATTAGATTGTGTAAGTTTCTACRAAAAAAGCTAAATTGAGTATGRGATACTCCCATTTCAAGATCTGTCGCTTCAACGTTACCATGGAAATCATGTTGTTTTGTGATTTATAACCCTTTAAATCTTGTTCAAAGACCAAAATTRAGCGGTGAAGAGAGATGTTGCGGCATTTTTGCGCATGAGAAAATCAGTGAAGGTGGAAGGAAGCGTGGTTTAGTAGCAAAAGAAAAYCTTCCTTACTGCTTCCTTCGCCGCTTCCTTCTCCGTCTCCTTTCTTCGTTAGTGAAATGAATCTGACACCATATATGGAACCGTCTTTAGTCTCATTTGTTTAAAATTTGAGAATTTTTGACGCACTGTCTGAATTGGCACCCAGAAAACTCGGGTATTTAGGTTGCCATGAAGTTTAATGGGTGTTTTTCATTGTCGAATTAATTGTGAACGAATGTGATACTCTAAGAGTAATCAAACCGGATATAATGTGATATGTTTTAGTTTATTCTTAAAAGACAATGGGTGAGTCGTTATTACCTGTCATTTTACTCTTATCAGTTTTAGATAAAGTGTCTGAAATGCATGACTAACATGTTAAATGCAGTAATGAAGGAAATTTGAGTGTTTTTTTCCTGTTTTTTTTTGGTACTCTTTTAGACTGAAGAGGGATTGTAAGTTTACTTTCCACTCTGATATTATTTCATCACTATCAAAGGCGCAACTAAGCTCAACTAAGAATAATGTCTATTTTTCTCGCCGTCATTTCTTTTTACGGTGTTTGTACTAGTAATATCTTAACTTAAAACCTCATAGAATTATCACAACTTTGAGTTGACAGGGATCCCATTATTTTTTTCTGTCTCCAACCACTGGATTCATGAATATTTACTACTCCACCCCTTTTAAAAACGTGGTCGAAAAGCTTAATAGATAAGATTTTACTTAAGGCGGGATTTTACCACAGAAATCTCAACAGAAATGGGTAAGAGATAAGATGTGGCTGGCGAGTTTACAGTCTCACAACAGGGCTCTCTATCATGTTGTTAAAAGTGCAAAGTCTTGACTGCTACCATAGCGAGACAAGGCGAGCTTTCAAAGAATGTACGTCAACTCTTTGCCAATGAAACCTTTTGGACAGAAACAGTCACGATGGGAGTATAACTTGCGTTACTTTATTACTTACATTCAAAATGTGCCGGCTTATTCCGAGTATGCATGATGCAATGGTCAGTGTTATTCAAATTAATTCATCCCTTCCAGGCTTATAGGCCACCCCGTATAACAACTATCGTGGTAATAACCCCGTATAACAACTATCGTGGTAATAACCCCGTATAACAACTATCGTGGTAATAACCCCGTATAACAACTATCGTGGTAATAACCTTATGAAAACTGCTTAACACTGCGTCGAATTGGCTTTATAATTGGTTTTAAAAGTAGGGGAAGCCTAATTATATAGGTAGAGATGGGTTAGTGCTAGACTGGCCACATATCTAACTGTGAACAGGTGAAATTTTTCCTTAAACATTGTCCTGATAGGAACCAATACTTTGTGCATCCAAGGGAGGGAGGGTTGGGGGTCAATGAGGATCAATGTGAAGGAGAGAGGAGTCGGTAGGGTTTTGATTGTTAAAATAAACAAGCTGCARTTCCGCGTTAATCCGCACTACAAAAATTTTAGCAAAGAGGATTTTAAAATAATACAAGACTACCAGCACGTTTTATCTTCTTTTCAAGAAGGTTTTTACTATTTTAAAGAGCATCATTTAAAAGCAAATGCACACTTGCAGTCTTGCGCATTGGTCATTATTAATACATGTAGRTTTGTAGTGTTACCCTCTTCACTAAACGACGTTTCTCTTTCATGAAACAAAAATTCMGAAGTGTTTTAATGCACGCATTAGTTATTCTATACTCTATTTTTGTGATAATAATCRCAACAGCCGAAATAATTAATGATCTGTCAGTGCTAAAGACGTGCTTTTCATCATGCCATCTTAGCCACTAAACCATTTCAAAATATGTTTCTACTGTTAGAGTGGTTTTCAGTTAATGGTGGAAATATATAGCTATTAAGCTAATGAATACAAAACMCTAATCCATAAAAAGGCTTGTTTTCTTTTGTTTGAAAATGACTATTACTAACTATTGAACGTATATGTTTTACAGTCAAGAAAAAAATAGTTGGACACRGCGTATTGACTGCGTATTGATACTTTGCWTGCTATCATCGAACTCCGTAGTTGTTGATCGATTATTTTGACGTGCYCTTGTGGGAAAAATTGGCTCCTCTTCTGTTTTTAATACTTTATGCTATTATTAAAGAAGGCAAAGCTTGTATAGAGTCAATTACATGGACGTTTTGATAGGTAWAGGTGCAGAGTTGATCGGCGTTATTCTCCAATTTAAACTACCTTTTGACCGCGCGCGCGTTTTGAAAATGGCGCGAAACAAGTKCGCATGATCTCAAGACCAGTGTGATTGGCTTATAAAGATATTTGGTAGCAAGTAAGCTAATTTACTAAAATRTCATAAGACGTCAGACTTTAGATTTACGTCTTTGTAATTGTGACGGCATGGAGTGCCAAATATAGACTTCCTCTAGTGCTTTCGGGCATCACGCTATCGCTCCAGACACTTTTGTACAACTATAATTTATATTTCATTTTTATTTTTCGTTCAATTGAGGTAAACTGTGTAAAGAGAAAAAACAATCCATTYAAACTTGTATAGCAATTTCCGTCGCCAAAGACAGGCTCTCGAACGTTCATAGTCTTTTTAGCGAATCAGATCGCGCGGATTTGTTGACCGACACGCTCAATCTACATGCGATAAATATATTACTTCCATATTTCTGTAAAGATAGCGGARGGWGCTTCTCATAGCTATATTTTAAAATAAAACATAAAATTCTGCCCGCTCAARAGTTTTTGTCTGCATCAACTAARCCAAACACAATCTTAGTTTMCTTKCTTAAAGCTGACTGCATGATTAATTGCCAAACTTAGACGCTGGYCTTCTATTCTACGTAATTAGCTTTGCATATATGAATTCGGATTTCCCCGGGGGCTGGCTCAGTATTACGAGCTCGCCAAGCCCTTTGCATTTTGCACATCTAAAAATAAAAGAAATTAGAWATTCATATTATAAGTGTTTAATATCTTACAAAGAAACTATAGTTTACTTGCCGCGACAGACTGCTTGAAAACACTTTGAGTTCACAAACATTTCGAACAGATATTCGCTTACTTGATGTCGCTTGTGCAAAGATGAAGCGAATCTTTTCCAAAATGTGTAAGCTTAAGCATTTCATGTGTTTTTCTCCTTTAGTTGATGATTGCCAATCGACAGACAGAGAAGAGACCATCACGAACACAGGGTAAGTTTGCCGTTTCAAAAAGCGCAGTGCGTAGCAAATTGTAYCCTAAGTTTTCACTGTATTTTGAAGTCGCAATTCCTCATTTGAAAACGCTTCTCCATAAGTGGAGTTAATGAGGTATTTCGCTCGTTTCCCCACGTCTCGTAGCGATAACTAAACAGATAAATAAATGWTTTAAGGCTCAATTTATGCGGTGCAAGACATGTTTTCATTGTTGACCACTGAACAAGATCATTCAGCATCCAATATGGCGAACATCTGTTTGACATAAAGCAAAAGGACAATTTTACCGACTCTGAAACGACCTTTTTCATTAAATAAAGCTAGCTTCTCTCTTGTATTTTCGAATAAGCATTAAAAAATCTAATGGAAAGTTCTAAAAATCCAATATTGTATGCGTCATTCTTTGTAGTGTTCAGKGCGTGAAAATGATTTATTAAATTTTGCATTTAAATTCAGTGCCTGCATTTAACTTCAAACACTCGTTTATGGAAATTTCGACGGCGACGCTTTTCTTACACTTAAATTGAAATACATCAAGCTTGATTTTATCCGATTTAACTTCGCAACTGCAGACTCCTAAAAACTTTTAATTTGATTGTCTTTCCTTCTTCAAATGCAGCTATCTTSCAAGGAATAAGACAATATTGGGATTATGTTTTGTATAGAAGTAAGCTCTAAGAAGATTTTTATGCTGTCTCCGGAGTGATCTAATTGAGTGTGTTTTTTATGCAGGTCGTATACTGAAAGTAGCGACGATGATATTAAGGTAAGAGTTTGTGTGCTATTCAAAGTCTCATTACTCATACCAGAGCAAATGTAAAGTACATCGTTAGAGTAAATAGAGAGTTGAGCGAATGGAAGCGTGCATATGAATTAATAGATACTCGAGTAGTCTATTTATGCAGATTATAGACAGTTCTCAGTCCCCGGTACAACCTGAGTACTGTTTGAATGGAACTGACCAGATGAAACTGAATGAACAAATGGATGAATAAGTGAATGGACTGAAAGATATGTCAATGATTGATGGTTTTCAACCATTCCCAGGAGAGAAAGTTGAACAAAAGATGTCCGCCATTGCTGGTGGACCTGACAAAAGAAAACCACCACCGTGACTGGTGGACCTTTTTGTTTTTCTCACTCTCATGGGAATGGTTGAAAACCATCAATTACTATTTTACTTAGACGAATAAATAAACAAATGAATGAAGGACATTCAAATAAATGGAATAATGAACGTAACGTTGAATGAAGCAATAATCTCACTAGCAGAACTAAAATGTGTTTATATTTCATTTTCGTCAGAAATCGCTAAGAGAATGGCGGATTCCTTTCTCGGATCTTCAGTTCGGTGATGTCGTTGGAGCAAGTCCTAAAGGTCACGTGTACAAGTAAGTACGTGCAGCACACTCGGTGCGCGTACTCCAAGCTTGGATTATAGCCCACCAAAATGGCAAAAAATATCGACTTTTGATGAAAATGCTTGTTCTATATTCCACCAAAATGGCAAAAAATATCGATTTTTGATGAAAATGCATGGTCTATATATAGTCCACCAAAATGGCAAAAACATTGATTTTTGATGAAAATTCATGGTCTATAGCCCACCAAAATGGCCAAAACTCACCGATTTATGACCAAAATGCACGGGCTATAGCTCACCAAAATGGCCAAAGACCATCGATTTTTCATGTAAATGCATGGGCTATAGCTCACCAAAATGGTCATGAAATCATCGATTTTCCCTCCAAATGAAAGAAAATGTTTTCCTGCTGTTCAATACAACTAAATTTCAACAATAGAATGATTTTCAAAGACCCATGACTTTGGCGTATCCTTTTATCGTGCACGTTTTTCTTAGAGCACTTTATTATATTTTGGCTTTTAACCTGTTTGTCACTGGTTGTTAATAACCGCTCCAATACCTATGAATTTACTCTCCAATACATGATGGTTATTGTGTGATCTCTTTGTTATCATGACACCAAGCTAAGATGTGATAGCTATCTTACTAGCACTGTTTCATATGCCGAGAACTTGTTTTTGAAGAAACTCAGAATGCAAACACTGTGAAATTATCTCGCGGGATCACCAGCAATCATGTCCACCGATGTTGTAGCACGCAATGTGATGAACACACTGAAAGCTATTGTATTCTATTGATATAAAGCCATGTTGCACGTACACTGAATATTCTTTGACTATCATCGATTTCTTTTTCAAAATTATACGGAGAATTCGACTATTGTTTTCGGTCCCTCGTGCAGACGATAGATAGCAAACGCATACTTAAAAGTATGCGCTTTGGAAAATAACCGGATTCGAGCTAAAGCAGCCTTTGTTAAAGCGTACATTCTGTCTATTTCGCATATACACAATAGCTTGAAAATAATCTAATTATRAAAATATTAAAAAGACGCCTAATTTCAAGAATATTATCAAGCAGAAAGTGGACACATATTAAAACATATAAGTGGGAATGTAATAAAGGAAAGGCAGGTGTTTAGCTTATGTAATCTTCTTTTATTCTCGTCTTGAAATTTATTCCTTTAACGATTAAAGATTTCTAAGTGTTGTATAATGTCCAATTGTAAMTATAGCGGCTACACCAAACGTATAGGCAATTTATTGCAAAAAATATTGTTATTATAAAATTGATGAAAATTAGGAATTGAAAGAAAACCACTTTCAACAAGCTGAGCATATGTTTCAGTTGTTAAGTTACCACACGAAAATATCTTTCATTTTATACAGTGAATGCTAGAACTAGTTCTATGAATCCCATAATGTAGGWCGTATATTATCGAATAATCATTTTTAGAACGATTTTGTTTCGGTAAAGTACTTTGATCTTTATATRATAATTTCTCTAAAACCAGCCACTTTTTATATATATTTACATTTATTTTCATAATTCATGTTTTATCTACAATTAGAGTTTTATTTGAATCGCGCGCGTGTTATATGTAATAACGTCCAAAAACCCAGTTTGTCATCTTACTCATTCAGGTTTACTCTTTCAATATTTTTTGAAGTAAATGTCTAGAATGGTGGCTGATTTAGCTGTCACGTGATCTCTTTTCGCCAGGGATTGTGTTTACTATAGCAAATCCAGCTGCGATTCCAAACAGTTTAAGATTGTTTTTCTAMTAAGTGGGTACCTTGCGGTATGGCTTACACTATTAGACTGAATTGTTTTGAAAACAGACCACCTTAACTATATCAAAGGACTTCTAAGTCCGGATGTTSGGAAGAGAGCAACTTGCAATCGTTTCGCTGCTGGGCAACTAAACTGATAGTTATTCGAAAGKTCGAAAACATGTCGATTAAAAATATTTTTAGACAAATTAATATCTATTTTTAAACACACCTTTCTATTTTGATTTAGGTTTTTAACGGTTATATTCGCMAGGAGTTCTACCGCGTTTGCTTTTCGCTTCGCAATATAAACAAAAACAAAAAAGAAAACGGTCTTGCTCGCTAAGTCAAATCTGTGTTTGCTGAGGATTTTCGCCTGTTTTTTAGGGGTCGTTGGCATGGTGATATCATGATACACACAGTCAAGAAAACAGCTAAAGAAGACTTTGAAGAATTCTTAAAAGAGGTGCGAATAAAAGATTTCACTGAATACCAAAATGTACTGAATAAAATAAAAGAGATATCGCGTTATTTGTTATTCTTAATTATTATTATTCATTCCAGGTCTCTCTACTGAGCATGATCAGACACGAGAACGTTGTACTTTTCATGGGTGCTTGTTTAGAGCCACCCAACCTCGCCTTCATTACTAGGTAACCTGCCCTTTTACACGTTATCACGTGATTGTTTGCTTCTTCCAAGTTTGATTGTTCGATTCACTTAATAAACTGATTGATTGATTGATTGATTGATTGACTGATTTGTTGATTGACGCATTCATTGATTGATTGATTGATTGATTGATTGACTGATTGGTTGATTGACGCATTGATTGATTGATTGATTGATTGATTGATTGACTGATTTGTTGATTGACGCATTCATTGATTGACGGACGCATTGATACATTGAGTAACTTATATTCCATATTGAATGAACACTCACATTTCATTTCAGTATCCGAAAAGGTCTTTCACTGCACACTCATCTCCACGTTCGACACGACTTTTTTCCTCTCTCGACAAGAATCAGCATCGCTCGACAAATCGCTCAAGGGATGAGTTATCTCCACGCCAAAGGCATCGTTCTTCCTCATTTCAATTCAATGAACGTTTTTCTCGAGTCAAAAGTCAAGTTGTGTCTTACCGCGTACTCAGGACGAACAACAGTAGAAAGGTGAAGTCTTAATTTAAATAAAAATAATAATAATGAGTAGTCGGTGTTATATTTGGAACATTCAGTAGCCAGTTAAGTGTGTATTTTCTATCAGTTATGCTAGAGCATACATGAAATTTCGCGCTTTTTAGTGTCACTATGGCCGACATTCTTTCATTTTCTTGTCACTCTACGATTATCGATCCAGCACTGAGTTCATCCAATCAGATGTCGTCTTAGAAATTAGGTGCTATGATTGGCTAGAAGTGAAAATCTAGAAAATACCTCGACGGACATTTCGTGTTGTGGATTMTTGATATTAGATAGTTATGATGTCATGTCACATCTCACCTTTACGTTGTATTTCAGGCATGGCTACGTCAGTCTACCACGCGGTCATCTGACGTATGTTCCGCCGGAAATGATGCGTACTTTAAGATGGTCTGACGATGAAATTATTTCATCAGAGGTTCACTCGATATCCACTAATGTGTACGCATATGGGTAAGGAAGAACGCTATCGAGTTGTACTAAAAATATAACAAGATTTCTAGACTAGTCAAAGTCGTAGGRGGTTTGTAGGAGGTTGAACAGCTGTGTACCCCAAAATACCATATAAAACGATTCTCTATTGTTTTTTTCGTTGTTTTTTTGTTTGTTTGTTTTTTTTTTTGTTGTTGTTTTTTCTAATTTTCCTCTTCAGTGTAAATTTTTAACGTTTGCTCTTCCGTAAGAAATCAAACAAGTCCTCTAAAAAAAGTCCTCTAACGTACTTTAGAGTATGATGATCTTCCATGTGAAATCTTAAAAAATGGTTTTCAATTAGTTGCGCAGTTTATTAACTCCTTCGTTGTGTCATAAAAAGGATTTCGGGAAGGCGGATCAATGTTTTGTGTATTGATTTGTCTATCTTACTATTCCTAGGACGATTCTTTACGAGATTATGACAGGTCGATGGCCATACTCGCTCCACCCTGTAGAGTCAATTATTTGGATGGTTGGCAAAGGCAACAAACAATGTTTAAGACACACAAAGTGTCCAGAAAATATCAAGGTATAAAACCTTCTTGTTGAATGAATAGCTGYCCAACCGGCMCTCTTTGAAAAGGCCCTCTATACWTATCCACAGGGATTTCTCTGCGAMTGATTTTCTTTTGGAATATTTTTYAAARCACCCATCCACCRACAAGTGTAATRTGATAGMCTTAAAAATCTACTTCCATTTGTACATGATTGTAAAACACTTATAGYATCGTTTGTTTTTGTTGCTAATGGTTCATCAATCGACCGGTTAATCCTTAGCGACTTACTCTGATGTTCCTACTCATTCTAATAGTTAATTTCTGGTTCTCTATTAGACTGTTTTAGGTCAATGTTGGGACGCTGACTGTAAGGAAAGGCCTGATTTCTCGACGATTGTGCAGTTCTTCTTGCAAGAAAACGTATGTTTTTTTATGAACTTCAAGGTTAAACATTTTAAATAGTTTCGTTCGATACATCGACCTCTTGTCATCATAAACATCATCTTCACAGTTAACTTCCGCCAGATCGTCATCATCATTTTCAACACCATCATCATCATTAACGTCTCTGTCATCACCATYAATACCATGCACAATGGWCAATCTAAGCTAATTTTGACCCATGCTTTTCCCGACAGTTCCCAGCACAGGATACCCATAAAAGAATTAACGGAAGTTTCTCAGAACCTGAGAAAATGCATATGGTTGGACGTTTATCAGGAAGATTGTCCATACGATGACCTCCTTGACAGATTTCTAAACCAGTAAGGTCGCCTTCTATTCCGGTTTCGAAACCAGATTTGCGATCTATAGCTGCATCACTCCTAGACAAAAGTGGCCCTGCATTCAATTGTCCGGACTGCAGACTGGATGTCCCTACAGGGTCCCCRGTGTATGGGTGGTGCTCAAGTTYCTGGGTACAAGAAATTGCTTCCATCCAAGTATCTGCTGATTTTGGCTCAACATATTAACTACCATGATGCTTTGCGACCATCAACTTCAAGAAACGTTTTATGCAGCCTCTCACTAGTTATAGTACTAGTCTGAATGAGTGCGACTGAGTTATTTGACTGCTCGTCAATTAGTGAAAGTGACATGTAGATAGCTGAAAGAATTCTTCAATTATGAAAACGACAAGATTAGGTTAATTTGAGTATTATAGTCTCCTTCGTAGCCTCCCCTTTTGTCGGCCTTCCTGTCACTCCCAAGAAGTAGAAAACAGGAAGCCCGGCGAAAGGGGAGGCTCCGAAAGTGAATATGAGTATTTGGGATGCTTAAATCTATTTTAAAACTGACAGATATTTATATCGACTATAATAGCTACAGTCGTTGCAATTCTGGGTAATGTTCTCATGCAACATTTTTGTAAACGAAGCAAGTTTCAGTTTATGATGTTTATTCCAATACGGGGTCAAGGTCAAGTTCCAAAAGGGTTTGGTTATCGGTATGAGGATGTAAATCAGCTTCATATCTTTGTTTTTTTGTTTTATTATTTCAATCATCTTTCCTGCAATCCAAGTTTTAAATCTGGATTCCTTTTTATCATATGGCAGAAGAGAGACTGGAAGCTCATTGCCATATGTGCTTAGGAAGTCTAAAGCAGACCTCGTCTATTTATAGGCCCCAGGTCTCTTTTAYAATGCACTTCGGCCTTAAGAGGTTTGCATGTGCTTATTAAAACAAAGCAGGAAGCAGGACTTTCTTCTTTGGATAAMACAGGTGTGAAAAGCGGCAATAGTTCTCTAGCTCAAAGCAACAGGTTTGCAAAGCGAGATGGACATATTCGTAGATAAATACCGTGTCGTTCCGTACATCAATCTCTAATTTTATTAGGATACCTGAGCACACTTTATAAATAACACAAGCTTTTGTCGTTTGCAAGAAAACTTCTTTTAATCTCTTTTATCTTAGTTTTTGATCTGCAAAACTATTTAAGTAAAGTAAAACTTGCCTTGTGTCACTAGTTTTTTAGTTTCATTTTTATCGATGCAAATTGGACTCGTCTCATCTTTACCAGGAAAAAAGTGCGTGATGCCATCATGAAAACGTCTTATTCAGTGGATTCGTTTCTCAGTTGGCGCATGCGCTTTTGATATAAAAACGGGTTAATTGTCAATAGTAAGACATCCTACCAACCCAAAAAATCTTTTTGAACAATACTTTAATATCTAGAAGAAGATAAACAGCGATTCTATAAACGAAAAACGCAGAAAAAAAACATTCTATACGCAGTTGCTTGCCGCTTTTTACTGACTTTTTGTGAATAGTTTTATACCAAGATGRCGACGATATATAGCTTTTCTATTAAAAAAGTCGTCATATAACTTGTGATTGCAAATTTGTATTCCCTATTTTTAATGAGCATCGGGGATGAAAAACGCCAAAAAGAGATAGTTTAGCTGTAAATATTGGGTGAGCAATACTCGCAAAGCAGCTTGTCATTTATCGTTCTAATGTAGACATCCTTTCTTAAGGAAAAAATAAAGATTTAACTGAATTGAAGTGTTTCTTGTGTTTTTATGCGTTGAGGTTCTCTCAATGACGTCATGTGATGAGTGGCCAGATGCATTATGGGATCAAAGTGCTMAGTGACGTTATATGCTCCGAGGTTTTTWWMAGGTACACTGGTTTACCCCTTCTCAGTCARTAACTAGCTGTCAGGAGCATTGTGTGCTAAAACATTCAATGTAGTTGAGTGCAAGCATGTCTGATAGACAATAGTAGGCCASTGACTAATGAGACTGGTAATCAAACATAATACAGATGGTGCAAACAAAGAGGAACACAAGTTTGCTACAAGACCAACTTTTATAGCAATAAATAAACAGATCCTCCAAAYCTCATTAATCATGATAAAACCCTATGAAAATTTCTTTCAATTTTCCATTGAAATTTAGATTCATATATGAACAACAACAACGCTTTTTGCTATTTTCTACATATAAAACTGTACTAACTCTCATATCAACTGTACATTTCTTTTATAATCAACATCTTGTCATATATTACATAATATATACAAATAAATATTATATCATATACTCAGTAGACATGAAATATAAAGTGCATATCAGCCCGTTACATGTGCAGTCAAAGCAGCTTTATCTTGGTAATGAAACAAAATATTTTTGCTCTTTTGGGTACACATTCCCTTGAATTATACGACAACTATTAGTTTGACAGCTGTAAGACAAATCAATCATCTTTAGCTCTCTTTGGACTTGTTGATCTGCCACTGTCACAGTTTTCTTCATCATTATATAATCGTTTTAAACAGTGGTTTTCTGTCTTGTATTCTTCACTTTCCTTTCTCTTTCTTTCTGATTTAATCATRTTCGTGCTTGCTGCATCAACACAGTGAGTTTTATCTTGAATGTGGTCACCATTTTGGATCAAATTCTGATCTAATTCAGTTTTAATAATGAYAGAGGTACCCTCTTCATCTTCACTTTCAGACTGTTCTGTGTTGGGTTCATCTTTCAAGACACTGGAGCACARTTCAGGGTCATTTTCTGGATGAAAGCCATGGTATTCAGGTATCGTTAGGTTGAATGACTCCATYACTTTCTTCATGACTTCGTCCACATAATAGTTTATCTTTACATCTGCTTTTTTGTCCTAAAATAATATTAATTGTAAAATACGATAAGCTGTTGGTATATTAAATAAATACATGGATGAGAGCAATGTGGGAAAGTGAATGACTGGAAGAATGGAATTGAAGAATGGAACAACAAAGCAAGTAATGGTTGAATGGATGAGAAATGGAATGAATGAACAGCTTAATGGATGCCATGGTTTAAGATGTGATATATGAATCAAAATAGAATAGAAAAAAAATTAGATGGATGGAACATGAACAAATGAATGCAACAYGAATGCAACAATGGATGCATAAATAAGCAAAAGAGTGAATGATGCAAGGATGGACGGATTTATCAATTTGAATGAATGTACAAATCAAAAGATGGTTTGGACATCATGTTACTTTGTCAATATTCTCACATGTTTTGTCCTTTGTAAGTTAACAATCACTATCTTCCCTCCATTCTTCTTGGTCATCACAGGTAGATTTCCACTTGGTAGAATTTGTAATGATGTACCGAGACAAATGGACAAATCTGCCTGCCTGAAATAAAGAAATGGAAACCAAGACTAGTTGGAGTACATGGTTATTTACTGATATTTCAGAAAAATAGCTTTCAAAATCCTTGCAGCATCTTGAAAAGTAGCCATTCCTTTGCATAAGACAACCATGCTTGCAATTACAAATAYCTGTGGATTATTATCTCAGCTGTGAGAAAGGTATTTGTCACTACCAGCTCTCTGCTCGTCTCCATCATTTGCAAAGACATAAAGCCACCATTCAAGATGGTACAGAGAGCTGTGAAGACTTCTGCATTACGTTTCATACCTTGATTGCTGTTCTGCAGACAAGAGATCTTCATATGGTAGGTTGTCCTCCCAGTCCAGTATGGTATCTCTTAGTTTGCCCCTGGATAAAATCAAAAAGTATTACGCAGCTACCACAACAATAATAATCTTTTACATGATGCAGTCTCCAAAATTCTCAATATTGTGAATCAAATATTCGTCATATTAACTTTTATTGACACACTCTAACCAGCCAATCAGCATGCAATAATTTACAGTCTGGTAAAAGCTTCTATTGTCATCTTTCTACAAGTTAGAGATTTCCTTCCAACCCACCTGCAATGTCCTCTTCTTCTTTTCTGTTCACAAGTTCGTCCAGTTTTTTTAAGACCAACACTTTTYGTAGCAACTTTCCTGATGTATTCTTTACCACACTTATCACATTTATCAACAAACATGTTACCATGGAGTTCAGACAGCTTAGACCTTTAAGACAAAGTCAATTATCATTCACTTTAGCTTATCATTGAGTTGCTTTTTTTAGAAAATAAACAATTTCATTTGAGTCCATGAGCTTGAATGGGTAAATTGTTAGAGATTTCTTCTGAAATTTTAACAAGAGTGACATATTGTTCCTTTCTTCATATATTTGCATGAATATGAGGACATTTTAAGCAATTCCTCCCAGCTGTGCTATCTATTGTTATTTTAATTCAAATTCATTTAATCGTTATGACAGTATGACAACGCATCACTTGAAAAGAATAGTATTTCAGAATCGTACAGCTGGAATGTCATGATTGGTTATTGGAAATTTAGGCTAAATATATGCATAAATATAAGAAAAGTGTAATCACYAAGAGATCCCAAAGAATTTACCTYGGAAATCCCGATTTTAAATGCAATCCATCGACATTTTGGCTTATGACATAATGAATTAAACCTTCTTGCTCCATCTTCTTCAGTGCCATATGAGTCAAAGAAGGCTTTGCGGTATCAAAGGAAACGTCAAATTTAGGGCTTAAACCTTTTTCTTCCAAAGTCCACACTCCTTTAGGTCCACGAAAGTCRGGAATCCCTGYCGATGTGCTTATACCTGCTCCAGTGTGGACAACAACGTGTGATGCTTCTCGTATCAACTTCACTAGTTGGTCGACTTTCGACATCAATTCTTCATCTGCATCAAAATACTGGAAAGAAATTCGAGGGCAGATAGTTAGATTATATGTTGATAAACATCTGGGACAATTTTGATTAAAATTCACCTCTGGCAAGCCGCATTTTCCTTTGTTGGGGTAGTCAGATAAACCGGCMGCGTAGTTCACCGACATCTTGGTTTGTTTCTCTTAGTGAAGGTTGAGAGGGCACTGGGAATAGGTACACTTGATTTATCAACACCTACCGGATAAGGGTCCATGTTTTCAAGATGGCGGACGACACAGCGATATCTCTTATAGACGAAAATACTCGAATAAAGTAAGTAAACACTAATATTTAAGTAAGTAAAACTAATATTTATGCATGGTTTTAGATTTTAAAAGCCACGGATATTTCATGAGGGGAATATTTGTTTTAAACTTGATATATAATCGCGAAAATATAAACTTATAGTGGTAAAACTTGAATCATTATAATCTTTATCATTATTATCGTAGAGTTAGTTCAGTTTTAAATCGAGATGTAAAAGAATACGGYAAGCAGTTCATGTTTGATGGTCAGGAAGAAACATGCTGGAACTCTGATCAGGTATGACACAGGAAGCCCACAAATCAAYTTGTGTTTATAAACCTATAAAGTCTTATTGTATCTTTCAGGGARCTCCACAGTATGTTATGTTTGATTTYGGYRAAGAGGTCCAGCYCCGAGAAATCCAAGTGAAATTTCAGGGGGGGTTTGTTGGAAGTGAATGCCWTGTAGAGGGGGGTGACTCAGCAAARAATTTAGAATCTTTATTTACATTTTACCCAGATGATATAAACTCTTTGCAAGTATCCTTTTTAAAATATTTAATCACCATTTTTTTTCTTATAGACTAGTATGATTTTACCCTGTTTCCAGAGGTTTCTTTCCAGCTTATGATCTGTAACTCTATTGTAACTTTCTTTACCTTAATTTTTATCTTTTTTTTTGCGCTTAGAAAAAGTTTTATAAGCGCTTTATAAGCTTAGATTATTTATTATTATTATTATTATTATTATTATTATTATTATTATTAATATTTCCAACTTTGCACACAATTAATCAAAGCTATAGAAACAGGAACTATACAATCCTCTGGGATCAAGGTAGTAATAGAATGTAATTCACATTGCCACATATTGTTAAATATTTAGTTTGTGATCTTAACCAATACTTTTACAGATATTTCCAGCTGATTGCAGTAGGAAGTCATCTAAAATTCTTAAAATTACTTTTGTTAAAAGTACAGATTTCTTTGGTAGAATTACAATATATAAACTAGATTTGAAATAATAATAATAGACTGTAAATAATAAATTTATTCTCTAGCATTTTGTAAATAAAATCTTTTGATGAATATGTAATTATGTTTTCACTGTCTATGGTGTAGTACTGTCAAGCATATGTTACATCATCCTTTAGAACCCTTATTATCAAATGAATAAATTGTAATAAACAAAATTGAAGAAAGAATCGAAGAGTAAAAGGAAAGAAGAAATCAGACAAATGAACCGGAAGCGAAAAATAACATCCCCTCTCCACCCCTGTGAACTATCCTTGATTTGACCTCCCATCATTCGCTTCATTCTTCACGTGATCGCTGTACCAGGAGTCAAGATGGCGGACAGTGAACCTCCAGCACTTTTCGATGATGATGAGCCTACCCCAGAAACCAAACCTGAAGAACCGGCGACTCTCTTTGGAGACACAACAGAAATCTCTTTAGACACGGACGATAAAAAACAGARCGAAGCCGAACCAGCRAAGCAAGATGAGAGCAAAGAGTCCGRAGAGCCTAGTAGCGCTGCAGCTTCGGTCGATGTGACAAACTTGTCAGACTCGAAAGAAGTAGAGGTTCCTAAACCGAAAGAGGAGGTAATGTTTACTTTCTTTTGGTCCATAAAACCATTGTAAATTTAATTGAATTTGCAGTTAACTGTTAAGAATTGTGGCCGCTGAGCTGCTGATCTTTRTTGTTCCCTGAGGTTGAACACTTAGCATGKTGCTACGTTCTTTAGTTGAATTTTGTTATGAATAATGCTCAAAAATAACATATAAATAATATCATAAGGTGCCTTTAGTTTGACCTAGAGTARAGTTGGATGAAATGTAAATAAAATATGTTTTGATAACTTTATTACGCATTTGTATTGAACTGTTAATTGAAGGGGAGGGGTACTCTTTAAACTTAGTATATTTTATCATTTTCCCTTTTGTGTTCAAATTATATGCGTGATAGGGATGGCATATCTGTAAATCTCAGATCGTTGTTTTCTCTAGGAGAAAGAGGCAGAGGATGAGGAAGAAGAAACRGATTCGTTTGATATGGAAATCAAGGTAGCGGACCCAGAAAAAGTTGGTAAGTGAGCTCAGATATCAWCAAGAAAGTCCATTATCAAAGTGTATTTCAGTCTGCTGAATAATTATAATAATAATATTAAAAAAAACAGAAACAAAACATGCATACAGACCACAATACTCAAAGAAGACAAGTCTCGCTTGCTTTTTTTGTGCTATAATTAATTAATTAATTAATGTATTCATTATTTAACACTAATATATTTTAGGTGATGGAATGAATGCATACATGGTTTATAATGTCACTACAAATGTAAGTATTGAAGTCATGATTTTTTTCCTGCTCAACCCTTAAACTACTCCAATTTTTGATCAATATGGGTGGTGWAATTTAGATTGTGTGCCACTGTAAGTGTTTCAMTGTTCATTGAGTTTTTTTATTGACTATCTTAGACAAGTATGCCAACATTCAAGAGTCCTAACACTAGCGTGAAGAGAAGGTTTAGTGATTTCTTGGGTCTTCATGAAAGGCTGGCTGCTAAGTATCTACATCTTGGTCGTATTGTACCACCTGCTCCAGAGAAATCTGTTATTGGTAAGACTTTAGTAAAAATACATTGAATTGGCCATGGCTAGCTATTTTTGTACATGGCTATCCTTTGATGTCAAAGTGTTTTTTTTGTAGAATTGTTGATATTATACATTATGTTGACTTTTMTGTTTTCTATCAATATAATCAGGAATGAGTAAAGTGAAGTTTGGCAAAGAAGAAGGGACGTCAACAGACTTTATTGACAAGAGGAAAGCTCTTCTTGAAAGGTATATATTTAAGTGACTGTACAATAAAAATTGTACAAAAGCTTATTCCTGGGTTTCAACTAATTCCTTGAAATTGCAAAGACAAAAGACTTGTTGCCATAGTTTTATGAGTAGGAAATGCAACCAACATGGCTAGTGATTTAATCCACAGTTAATRCAATAATATTTTGTTGTCTTTTTTCAGGTTCATGAATCGAATTGCTGCTCACCCAACATTAAGAGAAGATCCAGACTTTAGACAGTTTTTAGAGGCAGAGGGGGTAAACATTAACTATATTTTATTATATACTTTGTACTAAATCCATTACTTTTTATGAATTTTATGAGAGTTAGTGGTATTTCTATGAAATGTTTTTATTCCTTATTTAATTCTCTGTTTTGGTTTTAGTGTAATTCATAGTRTTTATGTTTAATGTAGCTTCCCAGGGCTAAAGACACAGCGGCTCTTAGCGGTGGGGGTATTAAACGATTGGTTAAGTCAATGGGRGATACAATGTTTAGTCTAACAACCAAGATGCCAGAATCTGATCAGGTATGATTTAAGAAAATATTATAAAAAAAATAAACTATCAAAACTTGATGGTATTTATCTTGTGCCTCTTCACATTGCAATCACTGATACTTATTGACTGATTAAATAATTATGCTACAAGTCGGTTGGGTTTTACTGACAAAGGCATCATAGACAAGGGAAAAGCAACTTGGTCCAATAGAGTCATACTTGCATCAAACAATCCATGATGTCAGAGTGGATGTCCTATATTTGCATCCAGAGTAATCCAGGGCTCAAAATAACGGCCGGTCAACAGACAATGACCTGCCAAAATTTGCACTTGTCCGGTCAAAGTTCATTTTGGCTGGTCATCTTGATCGGTCAAGTCTATAGCGTGAAATAAAAAAACTATCAAATTAAATACCACAGCAGATTCAGGTCGATTGTTATAGTAATATAATGAACGATTCTCAGGCGTTGATTTTCACGCTGCTGAACATACGGTATGAATGTGCTAAATTTTTGTTCAAATGAAACGCTCAAAAATTAGAAAGGTTTTTGTTCTTTTTTGTCTTTTAATTYGATTTTAATGCCAATAAACTATGCTTTTTGTATAAATAATATACACCTACTTGCAGAAATGTTGTCATAGGAAATAGGACATTTGTATTTAGTAAAAAAAGAATAAATTAAAAAAGACAAAGGAAGATCACTGAGGCTTAATGCTTTCTTTTGTCTTGTTTTAATTTATTCCTTTTTACTAAATTCAAATGTTCTGTTTTCTATGACAACGTTTCTGCAAGTAGGTGTATGTTTTAATTCAAGTTTTTATGCTTCATTTTTTTCATTTTTGTCCAGTCAAAGCTGGAACATGTCTGGTCAAAATTGTATTTGAATGGTCATCATGTCYGGTCACTGACCCGCCATTATTTTGAGCCCTGTAATCTAGCGATAAAAGATAGCTAATAGATAAATAATGATRTTTTTTAAGTGGTTTGAAGAGAAACAAGTACAGATTGAAACACTGGATCAACAACTCAAAAAACTGCATCAYAATGTGGAGATGCTTGTTGTCAATAGAAAAGGTACATGAAATAAGCCTTATGGATGCCTGTGTTAAATAATATTAAATTTTCATGAGAGTAATAAAATAATTATTTGACTTAATTGCTCTCTTTTGTTATCCTTGATGTATGTAGCTATATTTAGTTTGTTTTTTAAAGTGTGAAAAGGTTGATTGTGATGATGGATAATGATGATGATGCCCTTAATGATTTATCATGTGCATTGTGATAATGATGATTATAATCTTATTGTTATTGGTCAATGATGATAATAATAGTAATATATCCAGATGTATAGGTACAGGTAGCTTAACTATTTTTAACTCTTGTTTTAGAATTAAGCACTGCAACTGCAACATTCTCAAAAAGTGCTGCCATGTTAAGTAAGTAAAACTTTATCATGCTATCTAAAAATATTATTAAAGTTTACACTAACCCCATAAAATAGTTGGTAGCTTAAAACCTATTTTGGCTTACTTTGTTTCAATTGAATTGTAAAACACTAACCTTTAGCAAATAGCATGCTAATGAATGTTATGAATCAAAGTAATACTTTACATCTACATTCTTTTAGGTAATTCTGAGGAACATACTTCTCTGTCACGTGCCTTGACTCAGTTAGCTGAAGTTGAAGAGAAAATAGAACAACTACAAACTCAACAGGTATTTCAGAAGTTGCTTGATTTTAACATTTGAAGAAGAAAGGACTATTAGCAAGAAAAAATAGTGATAAKTTTCACAAATAATTGTCATTACTCAACATACACATAAATCTAATGAAACTTTGATTCAATTATTGATGTTTGTGCACCATTTGCTTGTGTTTTGCAGGCTGAAACTGACTTCTATGTCTTGTCGGAGCTTTTGAAAGACTACATTGGACTCATTCATTCAATAAAAGTAAAAATTTAAACAGCTTTTATATTGCTATGTGAAAATAGTGTAGCCAGTCAATAACATAGCTGTTGCTCTGTCATTAGTCAGTTCAGGGAATAGAAGGTGCAATAATAACTTGTATSTCATTTCTAGGCATGTTTTCATGAGCGCGTCAAAGCATATAGTACATGGCAAAATGCACAACAAACTCTGACCAAAAAACGAGAAGCTCTTGTCAAGATTGAACTTGCAGGGAAAAATGAAAAGCTGCCACAGGCTCAGGATGAAGTGAAAGAGGTAAATGATTTTTGTTGTTGTAGATTGAATGTTACACTGTAGCTGATATTTTAGATGTTATCATCTTGAAGAATCTTTCAATGTACCCTCAGTATGTGTCCACTGTACTATTGTTATAATATTATTTGTATTTATACAGTACTGTTAAGTCTAAATGGCTTCAAATGTTTTGATTTTTACAGTGGGAGCAAAAAGTAGAAAAAGGACAAGAAGACTTTGACACCATATCCAAGACAATYCGTAAAGAAATTGCTCGTTTTGAAGTATGTGTTACATATTAGAGTGAATGTGACTACTCACCATTCATTGCGTCTGAACTCTGTTCTGGACCCGCACATTGAATCATAACAGTTCCACCCGTAATGCTTAATGATGGGCTTGTGAACTATATATTTGAACAACCTTACTATCCTTAAGACTATGGATTTACCATGAATTACTTCTGCTTTACTAGAACTCAAATATTATATTATGTTTTTCTAGAATAATCGTGTGAAGGATTTCAGACAAGGTATCATTAAATACCTGGAAGCCATGATGGAAACACAACAGCAAGTAAGGACTGTATTATTTCATTCATTTCCTATTATTTCATTCATTTCCTATTATTTCATTCATTTCCTATTATTTCATTCATTTCCTATTATTTCATTCATTTCCTATTATTTCATTCATTTCCTATTCATTCATTTCCTATTATTTCATTCATTTCTTTCTTTTTCAGCTCATCAAGCAATGGGAAGGTTTTCTGCCTGAGGCAAAAGCAATAGCTTAAATGTTATAGGAACACAGAACTGAATATGTTTGCCATAAAAAGTAGACATATTGGGATTTTAAATGATATAAAAATTACAAAGACCATTTAATGGCCATCAAAAAGATGGTTTGTTAATTCAAATGATGAAACACTATAGCATTCAAAGTATTCTTAAATTCTTCTCTATAAATTCTCATCCAGTGATTTCCATTATTTTCCCCTAAAGAAACCATGGTAACATGCWAAATAAAAGTCTCTTCTCTTCTATGATTGGTTGATTGTGTGATTGACAGATGGGAAGCCAGTTAWCAGTAAGCACTCTTGTTATCCGTAGTAAAATATCTCATTGCACTCAAGTTTTTTTAATGTTGTAAATCTGATAGGCTATTAGAATTAATAAAAAATAAATATTTGATAGTGAGCTCTTTCTTTGAAATTGGATATTTGATTAAACGCTTTGTTTACAAAGCTATGTGACTTGAAAGTTATCCAAGAGGGGTCTGGTACATGTAGCCATCCCTGCTGATTTCCTAACAGAGTTGGCACCACATTCATGTTATCACAATGGTGTCATATTCTAACTTGAAAGATACTTGGCTTTAATGATTTCCCGCAATCTTTTGAGAACCCTGTTTATGTTCTTTTAACTGTAAAATTTATTTGCAATTTSAGCTAATAACTTTCTCTGAAATGGGAGAACATTACACACAAGCCAAAAAGATGTAGTTTGAATTATTTTTAAYTGTTAATTTTTCCATGTAAATTGTTTTGCCAATGTAGCAGTAAGCTTCATTGGAAAACTATGCAACCAATTTTAGRCAAATGATTTTTATCTGCTTAGAGTGTAACAAGTTGTGTACCTCAGAGTCTTTCTCTTAGGGATGGAGAAGGCAATAAAAGGCTGTACAGTGTATTAGTTAATGAATTGTGTTTCCTATTTTTCATCTTCACTTCAAATATTTTATTTACAATATTAGTTTGAATATAAGATTGTTTTCTTTGCTCCATTTGGTATTTATAATTGTTGCAAATTAATGCCCATTCATGCAAATCAATTCCTTTCAAAGTTCCCAGTAGCATCGAAAGATGCTAGTAGCTGTGCCTTTCTTACTAGTCCTACATATTATTTACATGTGCATATCATTCTAAGGGCACAGTTAATCTTTCAAGAARTTGCAGGGAACTGTGAGAATAAGTATAAAAAACTCCATCATGTGAGGTTACAAGTATTAGTGAAATTTTTTGCTTTTATTGCTAGTAAAGTATTGTTTCCTTTCAGTGCATAACTGAATTTAGACTATTTGGGGGGTATGCCACTCTGACCATGTCTATTGAAATCAAAATGGCGACCCTAGCGACCAAGCAATCTATTAAAACATTTAAAAAGAATTTAAAAAATGTGAATACAAAAATTAAAAACTATACTTTCAGTTAAAAACTTGCATGATATCGAATTAAAGAATACAGTATACAAAATTGCGAATGAAAATTGACTAAAAATTTGGATTGTAAGGTTTATATTGCGTAATTTGATCAGCCTTCATTTAAAGTTTATCTAAAATCTTCCTCGAATTCTTCGAGTTGTTTTCGTGCGTTTCTGATCACATCCTGTCTTAGATCCCAGTAAGAAGGGCAAGAACTACCGTACATTTCAACTCGAAGTTGCTCTGTGGAAGTAACAAGTCTTAAAGCAAAGAATTCGTCGATCAAACTCGAGTATTCAACGTAGTAACGGAACATTGTCTGTCGCGTTTGAGGATCACTGATGAGAAAAAAGAACACTTTTAGCAGATTATCGTCATCTTCATTGACCATCATGGGCTCAAAATACTGTCCTCCGGTTAAAACAAAGTTATCAAATGTTGAAACTTCCCTTACAAAAGCAGGGATTTTAACAGCTTCGAATAGATCATTGCCAAGCGAACTTTTGACTTTCAAAATGGCATCCACAACATCTTCTGCTTCAAAATATCTCTTGTTTTGAATCAAAAATCCCATCTCGACTGATGCTGAATTCAAAAGTTCATGTAGCTTGGTCCTAAGTTCGGCGATACTAGGTTTGTCGTCTAAGTCAACATACACATTCCTCCAGTTCAGAGAGTGATTCAGCTTCATCAGCAATGTCTCCAAACTGTTTACGTTTTTTGTTTCGTTTCTCGACGTGTTTCTTGTAGTTGCGGTTGACCTCGCTTCGTCTTCCTCGTCCAGTAACGGTTCATAGGATCCTTCGTCTAAGTTTACGTCGTTTCGCTCATGTCTTGAACCAAAACATCCCATTTTAATGTGGGGAATCGACGCGCTTATAAAGTTAATACAGGTACCATTAAATTGACGGTGCGACGATGACACTTCAGGCGTCAAATCTCACGATTGTCCATGCGTAAATGACAGTTATGTCCACACAAGAGTCAAAAAAGTCTTCATTTCAAGGACTATTTGAAAAAACACAACGATCTACACGTAAAACACGCAGTACTTTAAAGATTTCTTATATTTTTCCCCATGTCGCATTGAGATATTAAAATTTATGAAGTCACGGTGCTTAGGAACGATTGTTAGTTAAGGAGGCTGGACTTCATTTTTGATCACGCCATGTCTTCTTTTTAGTAATTTATCTTTTACTTTGATATGTTGTTTTTTCATATACTTTAATTGCCTTCACAAAGCCATTTTGATGTCGTCTGAAAAAAGCCAATAAAATGTCACGCATTCCTCGAGGATACCACTTCAGTGTCAATTATCACTCTATTAAGTCTGACTTGGATCTAAAAACCGTACTTTGTTCCAAAAATAACYAACTTTAACCCCATTACCCACTAGCCTAATGGAGTTTGGATTAAAATGTCCTATTTTGCAATAACCTCTGGCATGCGCACATTGGAATTTTTCAATGAAATTAAGTAATGAAATTAAGTTTTGTAAAAAATACATTTGGTGTTAATAATCGTATTATTCTTGATATAAAAAGCTTTTAAAAGCTAAAAACAAACAAAATTTGATAACATCAGCTAGTTCGCCAAGAAGGCTTCGGACGTACAGCAAAGCATCATGGAATAATCTGAAATCGACATCCATAATCCMTTGCGGTCCGACAGAACAAGTTCCCGAARAACTCGTTTTTTTTACATGCTATTTTGGTTTTTAGATATAAACATTAGTTTAGAAATTGTGATCACTTGTGCGTTTTGTATGTKAATATTGCATCGTAGATCATTTTTTTGCAGCAAAACAAACAACAAACCAAAATAGACAAAAAACTAATTAGGCAGCAATAAGTAGCAAACATTTACAGTAAAATATCTGCATGACTATTGATATCATCACATATTCATAAAAAAATACGACTGAAAAATGGCTTAAATATCCGTGAGCAGTTCTACAATTATAAATGCCTAAACGAGAATGTTTTGGTTTCATATGTATTGTGGATTATCTAGTTCTGTCAAACGATATTTATGTACATATTAAAGCCAGGCTAGTGGTACAATTAGTACTAGTCACTTCATTTACATATTGAAGGCACACTGTGTTGCCGTGGTTTCTTGTATAGTGTAGTGGTTTCTTTGCCAAATATGCTAAATAATGTCTAATGAAAAAAATTCACTGACTTCAAGACAATTGCAGTCTTAATCCTTTGGTTATTTTTGTCGCATACTATAACTGCTATAAGGTATCTTTTCGTTTGGTCAAATATCTCTATTCTTTGGCAATTAAGGAAAACACTCCAATATAGTAAAAGGCTGACCGTTTAGGTCATATATCCACTCCATTCTCAGATAATTCACACTTTCCCTGAGGCGAGGACCATAATACACCGATCAACAATTCAGATCTGTGTTTATTCTACTTTAAGTCTTCAAAGGAATCATGTCACTTTGTCAAACACCGTGAAACGCGTAAATGGCAGGATATTGGTGAAGTAGCGATAGTAGTTCATAAGAGAAAGGGACAACAAAGCCATTTAATGAGAAAAACGAGCGACAGATCTTAGTTTCTCTGGTTTGCAGTATTGCATTAACAGCTTCATGCTCCTATGTGAAAGGAAACTTACTGAATCAAAGTGAAAGTGTGTTCGTTTGTTTAGTGAATCACTGAACGCTGAACAGATTTGCAGTTCTACTATGGGGCACGGGGCAGGAAAGCACTCAAAGAACTACTTGATAGAAGAAAGTAAAGAATTCTCCAATATCGTCAAGACAAATGAAGAAGAAAACTCGACTGAAGAAAGCTTACATCACGACGATGTTGATATACTCGTTCAAATACACCATGCAAGGACTTGGCCAGATGAATTCAAAGACCAACCGATTCAACTAAAGCGTTCATTAAAAGACCTTTTAGAGACGGCGGCACAAGAAATGACAACATTATCGAAAGGAATGAAATACAACCATGTAGAGGAAATTGCAAAAGCACTTGTTCATCTTACTACATTGTGGGACAAAGGGCTTCTTTCTTCTTTAAACATCAAATCATTTAATAGAGAGATAATAACTCTAGAAATCAAAGGGATAGAATATATGGTGCAGGCAGGAGAGTTCTTTAAAAGCGAGCCCTTTTATGGCGAAGATGAGCGGCTTGTCAAACTGTATTTCTTTCACGTAAAAGAGCTATCTACCAAGTGTCGCATAATGTCTTACTACTTAGAATGTAGTTATATCCTACAGCCTTATTTTATGTTAGGTTTACATGTATCAGGGACACATTTAAGTGTACAAAGCTACGACCGAACTTGTCCGAGCTATTGGGTAGTAAGAGATGCCGTGATTCGAGATATGAAGGCAAGGATAAATGCTAATATGCTTGTTAAAAAGGAAACAAGACAGCAGCCAACAGAGGATTTGCGGGAAGGGGTAGAAGTGTAAAAGGAAATATTGCCGATTAGGGGATCATTTTGAAAATAAGTTATGCCTGGAAAATTATCTAATAAGAAAGAAATATTCCATTTGCTTCTTGTTCGATATCTTGTAATACTGAATTACGATTCAAATAGTGTTAATAACAACACTAGAACAATTCGCAGCTTATTTAAGTATTTTATTTAATCAAAAATGAGTTTTACTTTTGGACAATATTGAAATAAAATGAACAAAAAAACAAAGGGTTTGTGAGTTGAAATAAAACGCGCACATTCGTTAATTTGTCAAAATTTCACAAAACCATCAAAAATGTTAACTAGTTTACCAAAATTACTCTTTGGCTTTATTCTCATAATTATTTCTTTTATTTCTTTATCTTTAGTGCCCCTATTAAGGCAAACAAAATTAACCTTCTTGGTCTAATGGCATATGTTATCAATGGCTGACAAATAAGTGCGCTTCCGTTTATATACTCGTTAAACACATTTCTAAAGAACTTAACTGCGCGCTCAACATCTTTATGGCAATATTGAATCTTGCCAGGCCAACACCTTGATCAATGTAGATTAGCGCAAGTTAAACAGAGCACTCAGCTTTACTTAGGGTTAATTTGAATATAAGAGCGCGCTGGATATCTACTGAAAATCAAAAACAGCTGAAAAACGTTTGTGGCTTGTTGTATTTAGATTCCTAATTTTTCAATGGTTATGAAGCGGATTTCTTCTGTTAATCCTGTTAGGAATTAGAACCTTTTTAGAAGGTTTTTGAATCTATTTTTACTTAGAATAATTGAATTTGTAATCGTAATCTCTTTTTGAATTCATAATATTTCATAATCCAATATCGTAGATTTAGGTACATATTTGTCGTTTACTTAGCAAAGCAGCCATCAGTTATAATCTAGCTAAAAGCTTTTCTCTAGTAGTGACGACCTACCCCTATTGAGAATGCGTTCCTCGATCACATTATTTTGCCCTACTCGGTCATCTGAAGGACATAATTGTCTTAAAATTAAGAAATTGACTTGTTGTACCGAAAAAGTCTAATCTTCAAATAGCTTTGTCACAAATATAATTTTCAGTAATTGTTTTTAGTTGCACAGTAGGTAAAATCATTCCCTTGTTCTCAAATTCTATCTTGTTTGTTTTCTTACTATAGTTACCCTATCACATGTCTTCACTAGATCTTTCTCTACGTACTTGCAAAGATAGTTTGCTTCCAAGGAAACGGCTTGGACGATAAATCGATCATGCTCCAGGGGCTGTTTACATGAAATAAGTTAAATAACATGATTTCTGATATGATATAGACATGTTTTTTGATTGGTTCATCAGCATTGCAGTATTTCGCAAGTAAATGCACCTCTTGAAGGAAGACATCATTCTATTTTTCCCACTCAGACATGAAAGGATATAACATGATGTATAACTACATTAACGAACTACACATACGAAACGTTAGTAAGAACTGCTTTGATTCAAGTTTTTGGATTCTGTTTGCGGCTTAGCAAAACAGTGTAAAAAAAGTCTGGGCGAGTGTAAAGATATCGGCCATTATCAAAACCAAATGTTCATCTTTATCAATCTCGTGCACAAAGCGTTCATAATTACAATATACTTCTTACACAGTAAATCTAAAATAAGTAAACATGCAATAGACTAATCGTTTTTTTGTTGTTGCCAAAGGTTGCCACCTAGCAGCTGTTGATCTCCATCAAGATGATAGCATTACCACAGCGGTGATTGGCTATGAGTGGAGTGGTATGATAATTTAGAGAAATGTTCTGTTTGCGTATGTCAATGAAGATGGCTGCAGAACTCACCCTGCAGTTATATGATTTTAGTCATGTAAGCTTATCAGTCAAAATCATTCGGAAAATATCATGAGATATGAGATGTTTGAACGATGAATGTTATTGAACATAATGGTTTTAAGTATGATACCGTAGGAACTGCGATGATGATGAATGATGATATTTATGCCTGGTATATCATTAGAAAGATACGTTAAAATGACTTTATTTCTACTGTCAATGTAAGTTTTACAAAGGCAACCTTTTAGAAACGACTTTACACAACAAGGCCGACCCAGATAATAATGATAAAACGCTCATAATTCATTTGATTCTAATAACCATGAATTCTATAACAGTTATWATAATAAAAACAGGAAAATGTAGTCATAGTAAATATAGACGGTGAAAGATGTTTTTAGAGCTAAAACTAACTATTACTAGTAATAATTTTTTTATTTTTCTATATGATTGCATTTTCAATAATGACGATTATTTTTATAGTCTTTTATAGGGCAACTATAAAACTATTAAAAATTATTTAAGAACCGTATACTCTGATAGATAAAATACATTATGTACAAGTTAGAATAGAAACACTAAAAGTGTGCAACACAAATACCACTAAATACGACTAAATTCTATTGATTTTTATTCGTTGATTACTCCACACTATTTAGTGGAAATGGTTCATGTGTTGCAAGCTTTTAGTATCTATACCTTCAGTAACTTTAGAGCAATTTGTAAAATGTAAAACTACTTTGTCTTCAAGTCCTCTGGTCGAATCTGTCGCTCACCTTCGTGCAGAAATATCTGTAACGCTCTTTTGAGAAGAAAGACGCCCATCTCTCTTTTCTTTTTAATAGACCATGATTTCGCTCTTCCATAGTAGTCACCTCGTTTTTTATTAGTCAGACGGGTAAGACCTGATGATGAAAGTATTGTCTACTTTAAATTCCAGATAAAAACTCTCATTGAATATATGAAGTTAGATATTAAATGCTTTTATTTCAGTGTAAGGGAAAGGCAAAGCAATTAAGGATGGATGCTTTAGGGACGTTCTCTCCACTTTTTTGTTGGATAAAAAGCTTTTCCTCTTACACCCTTACGTGCTTAAAAAACCGTTCTATAGAGCATGGCAATCCAACCTTTTTAAACGGCAGATATTATATGGATAGAACTTACCGAGGGAATCTACCATGCATGCTTCACGCGTGTAAGCTTCGACGGGGATAACCCCTTGAAAACAATGAAGAGATACCACGCCCAAACCAGCCGACCATATGGCTCGGATTTGTTGGAGTTTGCGACTCACCTAAAAATAGTAAAACTAAATAAGTAAAAATAGTATTACTACAAGCAGCACTATACATTATTTAACTGCTTTGTTCACACGCTTATAAAAACTGATATTTTATTCATCAGTCTTATATCATATACAAACTTGAAACAAAAATTAAACATACACCTTAATACCAGCACTATATTATAATTAACAGCAACTCGTTCATAGTTAGGGTAAAATTAATACCACACCTTGGAGTGATTGGCAGCTTCATAGAGATGAGCATATGGCCTTGACCTTTTTCCTTTTCCCACATAAAAAACACCAGCAACGAATGTGTGGAAGATGTCTTCATATGGCATATTCTTACTTCTCAACGGAAGGTTTTGTGTAACACGAGGGTCAAGTAGTAAATAGTTAAAGGATGATTTTTCAGTTCTGAGGAGAATTAAGGAAAAAATATTAGAAATTGTTTGAATTGAATACTCCTGTTSCAAGTCTCAAGATTCCTACCCTTCTCGCCACTTGTCTCTTAAGTCTTTTTTAGTGAACTCAACACACATTGACTCCTCTGCTGGATCCATTTCAGCTGGAAGTCTTCCTTCAATAACAGCCCTGACTTCTGGGAAAAATTCCTTTAGCTTGTCAGATGGCTACAGAAGAAGAAATGACATTGAATGTTTTGATATGATCTAAGTTTACCAATGAATATCTATTAATAATTAGGTGATTACTACATGTACACATTATACAATATTTATCTGGCTATACATACATGTACATGTGAAACTACAGCCAACAAGGCCTGTATGCAATCATGTCCTTATTTAATAGTAATATAAACCAACTTCACACAGACTACAGCCCACTCTCTACAAAATTATTCAACAAAAGCCTTACTTTTGTGTCTATTCCATTTTGAAGTCTTGCTAGTCTTTTTACATATAATGGCTTTGTGTCTTCCCTCACTGGTCCAGGATCTTCACCTAAATCTTCCAACTCCTTTTTTAATTGTCGACAACTCATATTSAGTAATGTGTCAGGTATGACAAGTGAGGTGTCACCGACTGTCGTCTCAAGGATACTGTACTCTTTCCAGTCGTACATAACTGTCTGATTTGACAAACTTTCATTGCAGCCAATGCAAGATGGTTCTTGATTTAAGCTGTGAAACAATTATTAACGATTATTAATTAATATTATTATCATCACTTGATATGACCATCATTACTGGTCAAATTTACTATAAATTAACAGATTGAGCAGAAAACAAAAGAAAAACAGGGCAAATTTCAATGCTTCAATATTTTTGATGCCTAGATTCAGCTGTGATTTGAATTTTAAATTACCTGTCACTACAACAATCCATATTTAGTTTTTCCATGTTACCAATGACAGTATCGTCAAGACCATCGTCATAGCATTTATCTATTGTCCAAGGGTGGAGTTTTGGAAATGTAACTACAGTATTATCCAATGCACTAAAGGTCAAGTCACCCTCGCAGGCTGTATAGAAGCTTGTTGTCCCGGAAGAAAGGGTATCAGAACTGGACTCCTCTTCTTCTGTCATAAAATCTCTGGTAAACTCTGTTTCTTTTGTGGTTGGAGATTCATCATAAGTAATAGAATATGTAGAGTTCATCTCAGCGTTCGTTGGAGAAGCACTAAATTTGAAGTGTTTATCATCGTCTTGCAGTTTTCTTAATTTTGTATAARGAGTATCATCTTGRGGACTGTYATCTGTCAAGCATGCTTGAATACTCGGGTATAGCTTTTGGGTATCTTTTACTTCAAAGCTGTCTTGTTGACTGTTATCAAATGACGATATCTCTGTCAAGTAACCATCACCYAGAATAATTTTACTTAAATGTTGGACACAAAGCTCTGCCTGTGATTCGCTAGACTGATATGCATAGTCTAAAGCATTTAGACCATCWGCATCAGTGATTTGAGGGTCACCCTTGTATTTTAGTAGAATGCATAAGTTATCATAAATCCCCCAAATTGCAGCAAGGTGAACTGGAGTGATWCCTTCACAGGTYGGTACATTAGGTGATGCCCCATTCTTTAAGCACAACTCCAGCAACTCRCTGCAGTCTTCCCTTCCACTTAATAAATGGATAATCGATATTCCATAGTCTAGAATCTTGTCTCCTTTGGTTCCATTTTGTAAAAATAGTTTTGCTTTTCTGGAAAAAATATGGTTAAAGCATTAGGTCAAGCTTATACTTTCAGATCTCAAATGAATGCTTGAATAAGACCGTGATATGCAACATTACAGCTGTCTAGACTGTCTTTGCTTCTCATCGAGCTACTAATTATATAAATAAGTTGCCATACACTGCAAAACACTTGATAGGGGAATACAAGTACGGAAAATTAAAGAAACAAACCTGAAATTGTTCTCTTCAATAYAGTTCCAACAAACGTCTTCAAGCGACGACGACATTCATAGAAAAMATCGAATAAACCCGATTTGATCTTTGTCTTGGATACTGATTCTCAGATAAAGTGAATTAAAGAAGCACTAGCTTTATATTAAAACGTAAAAAGTGTAAAAACAGATTAAAATAGAGMATAAAATGTGTTTTTGTTGATAAAGAATTCGAACGGCRCGCGATTTTGGAGTTGTAACCAGGCTTCGGGTGGCTACAAAGCTATCAGCGAGTAACGCCTGGCAAAATACATCACGTGAATGTCAAAAGACAACTTTKAACTTTTCTTATTTTCCTCCAGGTTTTTTGAGATAAATTGAGAATTATGRTAAGAGAACTGGYACTTTGCGTGCTGTTTGCWKTCATAATCACTAGAGTTGGATCGTTCTCCCCTCCAAAGTATTCAACCTGCAACAAAAAGGATTTCGGACATGGCTCTTTTGTTTGTGTCTGCAATGAAGATGCATGTGATCATTTTGACGAAAGGGGGTCTTCTCCACTTAAGACTGGACAATTTGCAGTGTATACAAGCTCAAAGGATGGACAGAGATTTGATTTGAAATTAGGGATGTTTAATAAAAGTTCGAGTTCACGTTTAGAAAATGTTTTTAATTTGACAGTAGATGAATCAGTGACTTATCAAAGTATTCTTGGTTTTGGAGGTGCTTTTACTGGTAGGTACTGGCATAGTTTTGACCGATTTATATCCATAAAATTTCCAGTAAATGAACTTATTTCCTATATCATCAGATGCAGCCACAATTAACATTTTGAACATCACTAAAACCCTGCAAGAAAAACTCCTCCAGTCATACTATTCTACATCTGGAATTGAATATAACATTGGACGCATCCCTATGGCAAGCTGTGACTTCTCCACAAGAGAGTACTCCTATGATGACTTTAATGGTGACTTTGAACTGAGCAACTTTTCTTTAGCTAATGAAGATCTGCAGTTTAAAATTCCTGTTATGAAGTCAGCCATTGAAATGAGTGGAAAACAAGACATTTTGTTTTTTGGAAGTCCATGGTCTGCTCCATCATGGATGAAAACAAATGGGAAGATGACAGGTAGAATGACTTTTCTTGCCTTTACACCTCTTGGTACAGACTTCTGTTAAGCACCTTTCTTCTCCGTCTCCAGCTGATAATGCTTATAGCAGAAGCCTCATATGCCACAATTTGGGACAATAATGCTAGTTGCATCATAATGATAGAGTGAAGTCTTGAATAGAAAACCTATTCATAAATTACTAGCAATTCATAATTTTTTACATATTGATAGGTTTTGGTCAACTCAAAGGAAAACCAGGGGATGAGTATCATAAGACCTGGGCAATGTATTTTGCTAAGTTCATCAAAGCTTATGAGGACAARGGAATTAAGTTATGGGGGATCACTGTGCAGAATGAGCCATCTGATGGATTTCTTCCAGGGTAACTGTACTGTCACAATCATTATAAATCTATAAATTAACTACTTGTCCGTATGAGCCATCAATTTCACTTCCATTTATTCAMTTYCATTTTTTTCCTTTTSATTTYGWATAGCTTTARATTCCAATGTATGGGATTCAGTCCTGAAGCTGAGCGTGATTTTATCAAGMTTGACTTGGGACCAACTCTAGCACAGCAAGGTTATAAAGAYGTCAAGGTCATGATGTTAGATGACCAAAGATTGTTTGTTAATCACTGGTCTAAAACCATACTTARYGATCCTGATGCAGCTAAATATGTGTCAGGAATAGCAGTCCATTGGTATTGGGACTGGTTAGCTCCTGCTTCAGACCTCACACAAGCACATAACAGGTAAGACTTATATTAATTTGTATTTCTTATTCTGATTGTTATTTGGACAGAAATGGAAGCATCAGCCACAAAAGGAGGCATCCAACAACCCATTTTTTATTTGACCAATTTAACACACTGTGATAACTGCTGTATGATTATTTGTAGTTTTCCAGATTATTTTATGCTGGCAACAGAAGCTTGTGTAGATTCGTCCTTGATCAGTAACAAATTCTCCAAAAATGCTGTGGCTCTTGGAGACTGGAGCAGAGGGGAGAGATACAGCAATAGCATTATTGAGGTAATCACAACCTGAACTTTTAATGGCTAGGAGATTATAAATATCATTGAATTGTTCCTGTATAGTTAACTTACTATAAAATTTATCCGCTCGATACACTTGATACAAACTCGATTCACATATTGTACTAATACTGGTGTGCTTCAAGTGTATCGAATGTGTATCGAGCGGATGAAATGTACACTACTTAGATTATGAGTCTAAGATATGGCCTTTCTGACATGTTTTATCCTCAGGACCTATCCCATTGGGTAGTCGGCTGGGTTGACTGGAACATTGCTCTCAACATGGTCGGAGGACCAAACTGGGTAGAAAACTTTGTAGACTCTCCTATTATTGTTGATTCAGCAAACAAAGTTTTTTATAAGCAGGTAAACTTTGTAAAGTTTTCTTTGGCTTTCTTTTCCTCTTTTTTACCTAGATGTCATTTCTATTTTCAKTTACTTTTYTTTCATTGCACATTTTTCACCTTTCCACTCATTTTTTCCCTTTTTAAACTCACATTCTTTTCTGTTGTTTTCAGCCATTGTACTTCCATCTCGGTCACTTTGCAAAGTTTGTTCCWCGAGGATCTAARAGAATTGCTGTTAAATYTTCTGAAAAATTGCCACTGGAATTCATTGGATTTCTTACCCCTGACTCTAGTGTAGTATTAGTTGTTTTAAATAGGGAAGAGAAACCTGTAGATATTGACATAGTAGACCCAAGTCTTGGTTTGATAAGTGCTGTAGTCCCAGCATCATCCATACAGACATACATATGGGATAAGCCTGCAATCTGAAATGTGTCGTTTGATATAATTTTGATAAATTTTGAAACAATATTCAGTTTTTTTCTAGCACAGTATGTAAATTTTTTAAACGAAGAAAAATAGAAATAATTTCAACAAGAAAATAAAAGAATGAACAAAAATAAATTCTATCTACACAGGGATACCAATTCGCATGAATGTTCATCATAACGTCATCTCACGTGGAAACGAGGCTTTTAAGAACGAGAACATTTTGTTGCATTTTCTTGATTTCTTTGTTATTGAGAAGACAAAATAGAAAAAATTRCCGCAGCATGGAATCCAGAGAACCAGATTCAAAAGTAGATATCGTTAAAGAAGTTGCCAGCGCYTTAGAAGAAGAGGAATTTMTCAAAGCTGAYACTCAAACCGCCACTAAAGTTACACCAACAAAACCAAYSACTTCTTTACCAAACAAACAACCTACGATTTCTGCTAAACTACCGATTATTGCACCTTCAAACTTACAGCAAAATATGCCTGGTTCTAGTTCAAGAGTATTATCAAGTCCTCCTCAAGAGAAAATGAGAACGGAAGCCGCTTCAAGTCATAAATCAACCGGTAATGTTGTTGGCGATAGTTCGTCTGGTTCGGCAACGTGGCAGGGCACTTCCTCGACAAAAACACCGACGGACGATGGTGGTGGWGGGATGTGGGGATGGATGTCAAGTGCAGTTAGTGCTGGACTTCAAACGACGCAAAATATTGGAAGAAATATAGTTGAAAAGACAAAGGTAACAGCTAGGTCACGTTGTTAAAATAATTTAATTATAACGTACGAGCTGAGACAAAACGGCATTTAAAGAAATACCTGTCTGGTCTTTAAATGCGAAAATATAACTTAATAAAATTAAACATTATTGATTTTACCGTAGCAGATCTTACTGTAAATAAATCTTAAATTTAAACTAATCCAATTATCCCTCTACTTTTCCCATTCATACATAATTCAGTTGTTATTTTTTCTTTTTGTTAGTCATCTGTTGATACAGTGATCACCACACTTGACCCTGAGATGGAAGACTACTTACGTAAGCAAATATAATTGTTAAGAAATCAATAATAATTCATGACAAATTATGAATAAAATTCATGATGGATTTTATTTCCATAGACAATAGAGGACAAGCTATCAATCTCACWCTAACAACAGAAGATATACCAACTATTGACGCAGTCAGGGATGGTTTTCGACAGGTTTTTGAGCTTGCTTTCTTCAAAGGTTGTGGGTCATCCTCTGGTATTGCTCCCATGCCATCTGGGTGCTCTGCAGGACTCAAGGGAGCTCAGCACAGGGTCTCCCACTTGAGAAGATCAAAGAAAGTTAAAGAAGATGAGATAGTTGTTGGAGTAGAAGAGCTCATTGCTGAACTAGTTCCTGGAAAGTAAGTATTATTAACTATCAGTCCCTTGCATCATATTCAAAGGTGATTGTGTCTTTTTAGCAAAGCCATATGACCAGCGAGCTTTGTGGTGAGAGAATTTTTTAATGGTATCTATCTATCAGTGAATCCTTACCAGTCATCTTGCTTTTGTGAAGTGCATTGTTGCACATAAAATTTGAAGTTAAATGAACACTTTTTTATTGGAAAACCAAGATATGTTCAATGTTGTAATATTTTATTAATTTTCCATTGTAGATGGTTCAGTATGTTATGTCTGTTTCTAAGTGACCCAAACCTCAAAATAGACCTACAAACTTTTTCACAAGCTGTTGAAGTTCCCAAGGAATACATAACTAAAGCAGAACAGAGCACCCCGTCAAACTACAACCTGCGTTGGTCAGGGCTATCATATACACTAGGTGAAGTMATATTAGGGRCRGGTAATTCACAAGGAGATTGGCAGAGTAAGGTTGGAGGTAAGAGTTTTCTATATTAATATTTGAATTCTCTTTATGGTGTTGTTTTCAATCTTACAAAGAGACATATTGTGGGTAGCATTAGTTTAAGAGATGTTAGTTATGAATATTTTATTTGTTTTTTTTTTATAACTCTTTTCTTTAAATCTGCTTAAATCTTTCAACAATAAAAGATATAAAACACTTGTCATGATTATTTCTATTTATAGAAATGAATTACTAATGGCAAAATCTGCTTCAACTTTCTTTAAAGGTTGTTCAAGAAAGCAGATTCTTACAATGGCAGCAAGGACTTTAGCAGGACAATATAGAAATCAATGGAATGAGAAAGTAGAGTCTGTCATGGATAAAGCTGTAGTACTGTAATTCAGAAAACTACCTACAGAATTAAATACTGTAGCAACATAAAAATCATATGCAAAAAATTGCATCACAAGGGAATATTAATTTAGTAATATCTAGATTTATATTATATTCCAAACACTGAAGCCTACATTCATGAATTTTKGGGAAAATATGGAAACTGAATTATGTTCTCAAAGAAGTTAATTTCTTATGCTCAAAATCATGTGAAAGGAGACAAATTTGTTTTGGGAAAAGCATGATTTGTTTTCATATTAAAGTAAAACTGAACTACAATTATAATAATTCAGAAATGGGAGGGTCCATGTATTGTTTTTATAGTTTGTAATTAATCTTGAATATCCATACATACAGAGAATGTCAATTAATGTTGTGTAAATTAGAGTTAACAAAATTATAAAGAAATAAAACGAAATGCTACAAAAGCAAAAATAACCTATTAAAATAATTTATGGTAATTTATTATAATTTATGCAATCATTTAATTAAAACGCATTTGAACGTTTCAATTTTCTTTGTCCCTTTTTACTTTTTTTTTAGTTTAGTAAGTAAGCGTGTCTGACTTCAGTCAATAATAATGTGTTTTTTTTTTTCAAATTTTTAAAGCGTTCTGCATAAATTACATTTTCTCAATGAACAAATAAAAAACCTAAAAGGTCCGTCAAAGAAAGAATTTAGCAAATACTCGGATAATTCGTGCATCTGAGCGGTTTTTGTTCGTCAGCAACTGAGGAAATAATAAACGAAAAGAAGCAAAAAGCGTAGAAAGAATTCAATTGCGCATGCGCAAAATCACTATGTTCGATGTTTATTCTAAACGTTCAAACCGTTTTAGATCGGCCGGAATCAGTCAAATTTCCAATCACCGCTAAAACATCGTTAGTTTTCCATTTTCCTTCKCGATTTGTTTTAGAGACCAACTCTTMACTGTCATCCCACATTTGACAAAGCTAAAGGAWATGATGATTTGTGAAAGRGTACTTTATTMTTCTTTGGTAATGRACTTCTGGTTCATGCGGGAAGTGATGAATGGGGTTTTCACTTTTCTTAGTGAGACGTGTCACTCTCCTGTTACGCACGACACGTAACCCATCTGATCCCACCCAACATTATTAGTTGTTATTAATCTCCCTGATTGATGGGTTACCTGTGCATAGGCTCTGCGTCTTTATTTAAAAAAAGTGAGTTTTTCCATTGTTATATAATCATTTCTCATTCTTGGAGTTAAACAATAACGACTCATTGTCATAAAAATTATAAATTTATTGCGAAATCTGATTAATTATTCAGCTATTTCAATAATAATAACAAATTTCCGGTATTTTATTGTTTGTTCTGGTTTTGCATTTAACTACCCTTGATTAAAATCAAGTAATTCAAAGGTTTGACTTACAACAAAGCTATTTTCATCTAGAACAGTATGACATAAAATAATAAATTTCCATAATTTATCGCAGGAAACTAGTTCTTTTACTACAGAGGTGAACTGGAGAAGTTTCGRTGAAGTTTGATCGACGCTGGCATCGGTGAAGAGKAGGTCMTTAGSTTCTAYTCCTTTCAAGAGTTTACAAGCAGATTTCGGACTAACTAGGACCTCRATTATTCTATCTTTGTCTTTAACTCGAAGGTGGATGTCCCTGAAATATTGCTTAACTGCGTAATYATAACCAGGCTTGTGATGAACGCAGTAATCACACTGGGCGTAGATCTTATTCTTATCTTGCTTCAAGGCTCGCGAACACAATGCACAGCCTACATACGTTAAACACTGAAAAATGTCCTTAAGAGCCTCGACATTATGATAATTCACCT